TTTTTTTTTTTTTTTTTTGCAGTTTTTGGCCAGAGCTGGGTTTAAACCCACCACCTCTGGCATATGGGGCCAGCGCCCCTACTCCTTTGAGCCAGAGGCGCCGTCCCTATGAACAATTCTTGACTTGCTCTTTTATTAGTCTAGTTACATATTTCCTGGTGTTGAAATTAAGTCAGAAGAATACAGAATTGCATAAGTAGATTAATTAGAGAATTGTGTGTGTGAGGGAGAGGGGAATACTTGAAAAATGACCTTCCATACTGTCCCTCTCATCACCAACTAGTTGTCTGTTTACTTTGGTGCATAGAGGCTTGATTAAGGGAAGAGGGAGGAAGACATTTACTGAATACCTACTAAGTGCCAAGATCTGTTTGGTAGTTTTTTCTTATTTAAATGAGATAAAGCATCTGAAAAAAATGCCTGGCCCATGATAGGTCTCCAATATATGGTAGGTAAGGTTTAGTAAGAAGCATAGCTAATAAAAGTATATCATGAATTAATTCAGGCACAGATAGTCTATTTTTATTTTTTTTTTGAGACAGAGTCTCACTCTGTCACCCTGGGTAAAGTGCCATGGAATCAAGTGATCCTCTTGCCTCAGCCTCCTGAGTAGTTGGGCCTACAGATGCCCACCTCAACGCCTAGATAGTTCTTCTATTTTTAATAGAGATAGGGGCCTCACTCTTGTGTAGGCTGGTCTCAAACTCCTGAGCTCAAGCAATCCGCTTACCTTGACCTCCCAGAGTGCTAGGATTATTGGCATAAGCCACCACACCTTGCCAGGCACAGTCTAAACTGCTCTTGGGCCCATGACAGGAGTGGGTAGGTGAGAATCCTCACCCTGACAAGTAAATCTGGTTTTGACACTTAAAGCTTACTTGGTCAAGTGTTGTCTGAGAAACAGAGTAGTCTTCTATGTGGAGTCGCTTTTTGCTCTGGGAAAGGATGCTGAATATCCTGGCCAGAGAAGATAATGATGAGGGAAGCTGGTATTGCAGCATGTTCCGGTGTTTCTCTTTTAGCACACTTCCTGGGAAGGCAAGTCCAAAGAACTCCTGGACAGGCTTCAGGTCAGGGTTGGACCCTGCTATTCGTACGACTATTGTATAGCCATCTCCAAACCTGAAAGCAGGAGAAAACATCCAAATGGAAGATCCCCAGGAAATTTCTCAAAAAAATATTTAACCCTGATAACCCAATTTGTGCCATGAAAAAGGGGAGATCCTTGACAGACCCAGAAGTAAGTTCCTGAGATGTGAAGTCCCATGCCACATGCCATAAATATATTATCTCCTTTAATCCTCACCTGGACCCATGAAGTCTGACAGACGTCCCAGAGAAACTGAGGCCCAGGGAATTAGTTGTTTGCACATGGCCCAAAGCTCTTAAGTGGTAAGGCCAGGATGGGAACTCATTCGTGTTAGACTCCAAAGCCTGTGCTCTTACCCATACTGGCACATGCACGTTTTTTTTTCCATTTCATCTATATAATAAGGCCAACAGGTAGAGATTTCTGGGAAACTGACTCCCAGGTTAAGTAACCTTCCCAGGAGTCACACAACTAGTAAATGTTTAATGAGACAATTTGAATGCAGCTCTATTTGACTTTAAAGCCTTCATTCTTTCTACTATTGCCATTTTGCTCAGTTTTACTTTCCTTTATTTTAGGGTTAGCATTTATACACTCACAAAAGAGTAAATACTAAGTTTTCTCACTAGGTACTCGCCAAAAAAAAATATTATCTTTGTTACCTATTTTTCAGATGTTGGACACTGCCAAGACACCTGAACCTTCCATTGACCATAATTGCCATCCTAGTGCAAAGAGCTTCACATTCTTCCATACTGTGGGAAAACAGAGCAAGATTTTAGTCTTAGAAAGATGCTCCTATAACCATCAGAACATTGCTGTGACTTTTCAGAGGAACAGATTCCCAGCTTCCTAGAAAATTGCATCCTATTGTAAAGGCATATAGATACATAGATGATGTGATCAATTCAGTGCTGTAAATAATTGTGAACAATTTGGAAGCAATTCAACTATCTACAAAAAGGAGAATGGTTAAATAAAGTAGGGTATATAATGAAATACCATCCACATAAAAATATAGTGACCTGGAATAATGTTCACAACATATTGTTAAGTGAAAAAGTGCAGTATATATACCATGCTTGCATTTTTGTTTGTAAAAGTATATACGCACACATATATAGGTTTACATAGGAAAACTCTACAATCATACATAGCCCAATGAATTATCTCCACATGGTAATAAACATTTTAATCTTTGCCTTTCTGTATTTTTATAAAATGATCATGTATACTACTTGGAAAACTGAAAAGGCCACTGTGTAGAAACCAAGCCAAGACTTTGCTACAGACCTGTGAGATGTAAGCACTACTGATCTTCCCTCCTTGACAATACTTAGGGCACAATTCCACAAGAATCGCCGGGCTTTGGGATCCATACCTGTGGTGGGTTCATCCTATAATTAAAATAAAATAAGTCTTATTATTTGCCGGAGGAAAAAAAATCAAAGATATACTTATTTTTACATGCAGAACCATCTTAAGAATAGCCTAAATAACTCACCATTCTAGTTATTTCTTGATAGACTAAAGAATCAGAATTAAGTTTCAAACTCATTTATAACAAGATCACTTTTATAAATGCCTCACCAAAGGGAGAAACTCAAATATTCTGAGTGCCTTTTTATACAATTAAATAAATTTCTCCAAATAAGAAAGGGAAAAAGCCATTTAGTTTCAATCATGTTTTCCTGACTGTTTTTCCTAAAAGTACTTTTTGTCTAAGACCTCTACTGAAGTCAGTCCAACTTATCCAGTTAAATTTATTGCACTGGCTAATCTTAGAGAAACAAATTCTAGACCTGTATGATCCAGATAACATTAAACCTCAACCCAAGTCTTCTTCCTGTAGTCGTATCACTGTTCTTCTCTACAGAAGACAATGGGTCAAGGGCCACTATTCTTTTTTCAATCTATTCGTGTGTAAGGAACTATGATCTAAATTGCAACCTTGTGGATTCTGAAGCTGTGTCTTCAGGGAATGAACACAGAGATAGAATGCTCCAGAGAAAAATCACATCACACAGCCAGCCTCAGTCACACTTGTGTTGGGGCTGTCTGAGCCACAGAAACAAGGTGCCTGAGGATCTATTTGGGAGCATCTGAGGGCTTGGCAGAGCCACCTCAGTGTATCTGAGGGAGAAGTCTGCCCCTTTTCCTCCACAGCTACTCTGCTGTGCCTGTTGGGGGAAGAAGCCAGTTGTCACACCTGGGATACAGCCAGGTTTTCCATTCAGGCCAGAACAACAGCGTGGCATCCACAGTCACACTCACCAGAAATACCACAGGAGGTCCCCCGATCAAAGCCATGGCTGTGGACAGCTTGCGCTTGTTGCCTCCACTGTAGTTACCGGCATATTTTTCTCCATACTTCACTAGGCCCAATTTCCGAATTGCCCACTCACCAACCTAGAACGGTAAAAAGCACCTTGACTTTTGTCTAGCTTGATCATTCTTCTTACACTGAGATATGAAAGTTCTTTCAGTGAGTAGGACAAGGTTCTATAATCATGACCTGGCAATGGGCATGGGCAAGACACCACAAGCAGCAAGAAAGGCTTCACATGACCCCCCCACTTCATCCTCACCCCTCTGTCCGTACAGCACACACATGTGAGCCCTGCCCTGCACCTCCCACCACCCTGGGCTCCCACCCTGAAAGCAGCTGCACTGGTGAGGAAAACACCCCCCGCCCAAAGTTGATGTCTTGTGTGGAAAAGCCCTAAGGTACACTGTCAGGACGCCAAAGGAGGCAGGCTGACGCTCTGGCACCCACACTACCTTGCCAACTTCTTTCTCTGGGACTCCCCTCAAAAGGGCAAAGAATTCCACGTGTTCTCTCCCCGTCAGCAGCTCCGTGATAGCATCAAACTGAGGGCAGTAGCCCATGTTCTGATGGACTTCCTGGATGTTTGATAAGATACTGCAAAGGACAACAAAACTCGTCAGATTGTAAGCATTTACAGATATTCTTGTCAGATGACCTGGCCCACTGTGCCTGTACAGTATGCCCTTGCACAGCAAAGATACCAACATACCTGCTGAGACTTGAAGGAACAGCCTTTCTGCCCTCAGGCTGCCAGCTCTTCCCGGCAGTCAGGGTTCCTGCCTGCCCGGTCCTTGCACCTGGTTCTCCCACTTCAGAATTCCCGTGCCAACTGCAGCACATTCTTTACCAACCTCCTCAGTCAGTCACACACTGTACCAAACCTTTAACACTCAGTCTCCATCCTGACTTGACCTGATGCAGTCATTTGTACCAGGTGCCATGAAGTCTCCTTCATGGCCATTCCAGCTCAGAAAATTTTAGCTGTGAGCTCCTCCTGCTTTTTGCTGCCCATACCTGACTCAGTTCATAGCATACATATTCCAGATCTCTTGGTCCTACTGAATACCCAGCCTAGGCAGCCCTTTAGCTATTAAGGGTTTTTTGATCATAGACCCTCTAAATCTGGTGACAGAAAAAATTACACTTACAAACACAATGTTATATATATTGGTGGGGGCAACTTTTAGGTTCTGTGAAGCCAATCAAGTTAAAAATTCCTGATGTGAGAGCTCAGCATCTACAGCTCCATCTCATGAAAGTATTTGCATCACCTTGGGACAACCATGAACTTGGCCTTTTGGCAGCATTCATTCCTTTCTGCTTATCTAATTCATACCCCAGTGTCAGCCACTTCCAGAATTATGATTGAGCCGCTCCTGGACTCTATGCCTGGGCCTCACAGATACACTGCCCAAGTCAGTTCTTACAACCAGTCCTTGCAACAAACCTTAGTCTAGGCCAATGAATGCTGCCATTGCTACATGCCCCAGAACTTTCTGCTAGGGAAGTCTGGAAGAGCAGTTATGCAGCCTCAGGCCTGCTACTCCCAGAATGTCTTATTCTTTTATGTTACTACAGAAAAAGGAAACTGGTATGAGACAGGGGAGAGATCAATGACTAAATTAAGATTTGTATTATCTATCCCCCTGTCCAGTATTTTCAAATTGTGAGTCATCACCCATTACTGAGTTGTGAAATAAATTTAGTGGGTCATGACCAGCACTTTTTTAATGGCTCTGGTTAGAGTTGAATATGAAATACCAGAGTATACTACAAGTAGTAATAGTAGGTATTATTTTGTGAAACTTTTAAGTTACATGTGTTTTTGTGTCTGTGTGTAGATGCTAGGTTGACATGTAAAATGTGTTCCCTAGATAGGTCATAGTCGGTTTGAAAGCCACTGCCCTGTACCATCTCTCCATATAAAATACCCACAGAAGCCCCACCTGCTTGGAGTACTTAGTGTAACACTGTCTAGCATATGTCTAATGTGTAGCTGTACCTGCCCCCAAAGATCAGATTGCTTAGTGCAGTTTCAGAAATGGCCTAATGGAGCCTCCATCAATTGTATACCCATTAGAGAGGACAATCTGGCATGTATATACCCTTTTGCCTTATAGAAATTTTCCCTGAGGAAATAACAAAAGATATATACAAGGACATACTTACATGGCGAAAAAAGAAAACTGACAAATGTTCAACATTTATAAGAAACTGACTTAAAAAATTACATGTACATGTACATTGGGCAATTTTATGTAGCAGGGTGAAATTCTACATCTTAGAATATGTAACCCATTAGGAAATATAATACACTCATAAACAATAAAAAATAATCTTCAAACCTATATATAGCATGATCTCAATTTTACAGCATATTTATATAAGATAGATTTGGGGTGATGGAAAAATTCTAAAACTAGATTGTAGTGATAGTTGCACAGCTCTGTAAATTTACTAAAAAACACTTAATTGTACTCATAAAACAAGTAAATTAAATGGTTTTCAAATTAACCATGAATAAAGCTGCTGATAGAATGACACTGAAAGAAAATTTAAATTTTGGTTATCTCTCATTAGTGAAATTATGGATGATTTTTCTGTTCTTTATACGTTACTCTTGTTCAGTATTTTTATGAGCTATATATAATATCACCATAATCAGAAAAATAATAATGTATTTCTTTAAATAAATGAAAAACAAGGTCTTTGCAGCAAAATACATGCCACTTCTTTTCTCACCTATTTTTGTTAAGGAAAGCATCTCCTCTGGTAACAGTGGTATCTCCAGTTAACATCTTGAAAGTTGATGACTTCCCAGCCCCATTCACTCCCAGGAGTCCAAAGCACTGAAAAGGCAAGATTAGGCAAAATGTATAAGCAAACTATTAAAATCTGAATATGAATAACCCCTATAAGATAGCTACTTCAGCTTAGTTTTAATAAAATCATCCTAAAACATCATTCTTAAATATCAATGAAGAATCAACCATTTTCTTGGTTTTAAGACATCATATGGATAATTAAATATATATCTTGCAATGGAACCATTTTAAGTGTGGGCACACTTGTAAATATTATTTGAGTCACCAAGTTAAGGCCAAAGTTAATGTGTAAAAAACAGTTTTGAAAACCAACTAGTCAAATAACACTAACTCCTCTGGCTAAAGGGCAAAAAGAACACAAATAGGAATGAGAAAGGAAAGAATCAATATTTTTATTTATTTATTTTTTTTAGAGACAGAGTCTCACTCTATTGCCCTTGGTAGAGTGCTGTGGCATCACAGCTCACAGCAACCTCCAACTCCTGGGCTTAGGCAGTTCTCTTGCCTCAGCCTCTCGAGTAGCTAGGACTACAGGCGCCCACCAGAACGCCCGGCTATTTTTTTGTTGCAGTTTGGCCGGGACCAGGTTCGAACCTGCCACCCTTGGTATATGGGGCTGACGCCCTATCCACTGAACTACAGGCACCGCCCCAGAATCTGTATTTCTAAATCTATCTGAATTTCATCATCATCTCAAATGGATCACACAAGCACATTTTTCTTAAACTGCCTGGGATTATCCAAGATTATTCTCTATTGACTTGGAGGTTCTCTATCCTCTCAGTGACTGATTGCTCCACACAGGCCTAAGTAGAGAAGCTTTAAAAGCCACTTCACCTCTTGGAGACATTGTTGTTTGATGGGTAGATAGAGTATGAATTAATAGGGACAATCAGTGTAGACAAAGTGTCTTTACCTCACCAGGAGGAATTCCCACACAAATCCTGTCAACAGCAGGCTTCCTCTTCCTTCTATATATCTGCAATAAACAAAATGCAAAAATTCATGAGGCCCTGTGACTCACAGCTCTTCAAGCAACTGCAGAAGAGGGGATTATACACACCACAAAATAAGACTCATCAATAAAACTAAGTCATATATTTATGTGCTAACAGCGTTGGTCTGCATCTGTACAACTGACTTCTGACTAACTCTGAAGCTCAAAATAAAAGTGACTTTATTTTTTAATCTGTCTTGTAAAAAATATATCAGCCATTAATATCCATACAATTTTTCATTTATTTATATATAAACATGTATTTTAGAAACTAAATTCCACAGAGTCGAAATTTGCAATCAAAATATTGCAAATATTGTACAGATTACACAAACATGAAATTTGGGGATTCTAGAATGCATCCAAAGAGGGACAGAAACAGACCCTTCTCCTGAGCAATGGCCATAGATCAGGTTTTTGGACTATGAAATTCAAAAGCAACCATTTACTCTCTACTATTTCTGTTCTGACTAGATATACAAAATTAGTATGTTTTAATAACAAATATAAGTATACAAAAGAAGTATACTTCAGAATGGGAATTCACACTACAAAAGTATACTCAATAGGATTTTTTAAATTTAAGTTTTCACAGTATTTTTGTTCCAGGTTAGCATAAGGGTACATGCCGTTAGGTTACATTATTTGTGTTGGTAAGATAAAGTCCAAAGTCCAAGTTGTAGTTGAGTCCTTCACCCAGGAACTGTGCCATATACCCCTACATTGTATCCTGCTCCTCCCCTCCCTTCATGAAATTAACTGTGTTTGTCTCTCCTATGGGCCTATAGTTGTTGATCCATTAGTTTCAGATAGTACTGAATACATGGAATGTCTGCTTTTTCCTTCTTGAGATACTTAAACTTAGGAGAAGGTTCTCCAAATCCATCCAGGCAAATGCAATAGATGCAGAGTCTCCATCTTTTTTATGGTTGAACAATATTCCATGGTATACATATACCACAGTTTATTGAATCATTCAACGGTTGATGGGCACTTGGGCTGCTTCCATACCTTTGCAATTGTGAATTGAGGTGCTATAAATATTCGAGTACAAAGACAAATGGCCATAAAACACATGAAAAAGTGTTTATCATCCCTGATCATCAGAGAAGTGCAAATCAAAACCACTTTGAGATATCGCCCATCACCAGTAAGATAAACATCACAAGATCCTAGGCTGCAGATGCTGGTGGTGGTACACTGATGCACTGTTGCTGGGATTGCAAACTAGTAACATCATTTTGGGAAAAATATGGAGGATCCTCAAAGAGCTAAAAGGAAACCTTCCATTTGATCCTCCAATCCCACTACTGAGCATCTACCCAGAAGAAAAACATCATTTTACCATGAGGACATGTGCATGGTGTTTGTGTTTTTTTTTTTTCCAACAAAATTAAATTGACAGAAGCTTGGTACAGGTGCACATTTTAGGGAACATGCTCTTTTAAGCAAGCCAGCAAAATGCTAGCTTCCAACATATAGCTGAAAAGCCTCAAAACAAGCTGTCGTAACCTGTATTCACTGTCTTACCTTTGTCAACTCCTTGATTTCCAATATGTCATTCTGGCCTCCACCATCAAGAATTCTCTGTCTTTCCCGCCTCACATCCTCATCCTCATCATTCAGAGGAGGAAGCTTTGCATTTATAGGTCTTAAAGGGAAGAAATTAAGAAAAATGAACCCTTCAAAGTATTTTTCAGAACAAAGATCCAGTCTCTAAAGCAGTCTTATAAACCACTTGCCAATTTCCAATTTCCAGGATGGGTGGGGCCAGGGGTTGGGACATGTCCACATTAGGAAAATGAGTTTGATGTTCAATCAGTTCAATCCAGCCACCTTTGGCAAGTGTTTCCTGGGACACCTCCTCTATAATCCTCAACCAGGTGCTCCCTGAGTTTTCTAAGAAAAAATTTACCTGGGCCTGATGAAGAATCTGTACTGGATCAGAACAGTAATGAGGAAGAACACCACCCCTTCCACGGCCATGGCAAAGAGGTTGCGTCCCACCAAGTCCCAAGATAATGGCGATACAAAGCGATTCTCCCCTAGTAGACAAAATTCAGAGAAACTGTCAGAATGGAGGCATCAAAAACCAAGGCCCTTCCTCAAATTTGGGCCCATCTTCTTAGAAGTCTACATATCTCCCTACAAACACCAACGGCTATCACCCATGACAAGGACCAAAAAAAATAACAAAATGGGTGATCACTTTTCAAGTCTGATTTAAGGAATTAAATATCAATCAGAATTTTTCAGAGCAAACAAAAAATAGATCTACAACTTCATTGAATATATCTAATATTTCTTTTTTAATGAGATATATCAAAAATCCTTTTATAAAAAGTGAACAATCCAGACCCTAAATGATTTTTAGGGTCTGTATTTTAATAAATTCTAAGCTTCAATAAGAAATATTAGAAAGCACTTTAAAACAATGCCCCTCTTAGCTAGACATGGTTGTGTGTGCCTGGTCCTAACCGCTTAGGAAGCTGAGGTAGGAGGATTGCTTAAGCCCAGAAGCTATGACCAAGCTACTGCACTCCAGCCTAGGTGATGGAGCAAGACCCTGTCTCTAAAAATACAAAAAAAAAAAACCCTGTTTCAGTAGAATATAATGTAATATAATAACTCAACTAAATCATCTGGTTTTATATAGATATTCCTTAAATTTCTGATATATCTCTTTTGTACTTCCAAGTTGAAAAACTAACATGGCTGATCTGGCTATATTAGCCAGTGGATAAATGATTGGAGGAATATCATTAGAGAAATATTTTTAACTATTCTAAAGGTAGAAAGCACTGCAATAAATTATCTTTTTATAAACTGTGTAAAAGATACTATGTGATCTTAGCTACAGGGCCAAGATTTGCCTAATAGAGTCAAGGTTTGCATCTTTCCTTCTGATTCTTTGCCCTATATCTAATTCTTGGTGTTGTGTTTTGACTTTTCTAATGATCCTGACAAACACAAAAACAAGCATGAACTAGTCAGTCCAAGAAAATGCCAGCATTTTCTTTATTGCCATTTTCTTTATCTCACTTATCTCAATGCCATTAGAGGCAAAGACAAATGGCTATGTCACAGTGCCCATGCTATAACCCCTTGTGAGCCTGACCAGTGGTTAGGGAGAGCAGGGGACATCCTGTATGCAGTTACTGGCCTCTTTCCAAAAACAAAGGCCGGATATCAAGGCCTTTCCAAACTGCCATCTCCACTAAAGCATCCTGCAGCCACTGTGTCACTCACCAAACCTTTCCAGGGCATCAGCCATTGCCTGGTTTTTCACCATGTCAATTAGCCCTCGTCCCAGGCAAAAATGTGGGAAGATCAAGAATACTGACTTCAGGATATCATTGATGTTATTCAGCTTCTAAAAAAAAAAATTTAAAAATGGGGGTGAGGGAAGGGAGAAATATGGGATGTCATTCATGGTTTACACTAAAGATTTATCAAAGTCTGAAATATGAGAATGAAGAAACAATTTGATTCCCCGAGGACAAACTGAACCTTTGCATTTAGATAAAAATAAATAGCAGCATACATAGCTGGTGATATGTAACATAATAAAATTCTATTCTTCAGAAACCTTGGAGAAATACTGTGACTATAGAGAAATAAGAGGCAAATTTTAGAAATAGGACTGTACTTAATCAGAAGCAAATCCATAACAAAATATTTACTTAGCATTTTAAAAGGAAATTGCTCATGTCTGGGTCAATATTTGAGTTTAAGGACTTTGTTGGAATTTTAAAATTTCTTCTCCCAGACATCAGAACTCATTATGACCCCGCAAGACAGCAGTGGCCAAATATCCAGATACTAAGTAAGGCGCTACATGCTGGATGCACTGTGTGAGGGCATAGGAGAGCCAAACCTTATTAAGAAGCAATCCCCACTCTGAGGAAGAAAAGCATGTAAGAAGGAAATTACTATATACATGGAAATGTGTTGTCCTGGAGACATGAACTGGGGGCTCTGAGAGCACGAGGGAAAGAGAGGATACCTACCCTAGGGCAGCTATGGAAAGCTTCACATAAGAGCTAAATCTTGGAGGGTAAAAGAGATACTTTCACACTCTGTGATAGAAAAGGGGATTTCAAACCAGGCTTTTGAAGGACAAGTCAGCTGAAGCTTACAAGGCATTAGGAAAAGGTGTGATGGGAACTGACCGAAAGGGCTGTCCTATGAAAGTCCTTGTGTGCTACACTAAGGTGTAGCTGGATAAATGCAAAATTTCAGAGATGTCTAAGTGCAAGAATTGATAATGTGACCAGGTGAATATGGGACATAGCAATAGCAAAGCACGTAAGATGACTCTAAGAGAGTCAGCTTGGGCAACTGAGTAGTAATGCCACCAAGTGTGACAGGGATGGCAAGAGAAATACTAGGTCCTGGGGGTTAAGAGGATTAGGACACATGCAATTTGGGGTATCTATCAAAATGGAACCATCTGCTAGGCAAGAAAGAATTAGATTAGAGTTCAAGGGAACATTCAAGGCTAAAGGTCTTGAGATCTGAGTGATAACGATAAAAGACACCGAGAGAGGTGGTAGAAAAAGCCTTGGGATTGAATGGTATCGCCTAGAGCTGAAATCTGAAATGGCAAGTAGAGACAGCAGAGGGCCTGGTCTGGGAAAACAATACTGACACAGAAAGAAATAAAAGAACTTGTCAAAAGAAAGTGAAGGCTTGACCAGAGAGACATTAGGCTCAGCAGGAAAGAAAGGTGCTATGTGTTCTCAGGGAAGATGGAATCTGTAAAAGCATGGAGTGGTCAGCTATGTCAAAACCACAGACAAGTGGAATAAGAGCACAATTAAACACTGTCCTCTGGCTCCCAGAGATGCACATCCCAGTGGGAGGTGTTCTTCCTGCAGAACTCACATTGTTGGTGAAGAGCTCCAGCACGAAGGTGGCCACACTGCCATTGATGCCGATGAAGAGGTTCACGCTGGTGAGCACCACGTAAGCTGTGCTGGGGATCTTGAACACGAAGGAGGCTGGGTACATGAGTGGTGTGATTGACCACCTGGTAAGACACAAGGACAAATGTCCACACAGAGTCCTTCACCCTCCCTCCGACATTGTCCACCAACTGCCTTACCAGTTGTGAGATTTCCCACCCAGAGATGTCTTACCCGTACAGCAAAAGTAGAAGGGCTAGCACAGGCAGGTTGGTGGAGGACACGTAGGACTTCTGCTGGAAGCAGATGAAGATGATAATGACCAGCGTGGCAGGGACCACGTAATTGCACTAAAAGTGAAAACAGGAAATAAAGTTCATCCTTAAGTCAAATACACAACACATCCCAAGCCTTTACCATCATCAGACAAGAAAGGGCAGATAAACATATTGGAGAGTAACTTTGCATTAATGAAGCCACATAAACTACTAATCAAAAGACTGGACAATACAATGTGAAAAGCATGTTACCCCTGGCTGATTTTCCAAACTGCATGCCCTTCCCGCCTTTCCAACAGCTAAGCCAAGGTGTCACGTTTAGTAAGCCTACTGAACAATGGATTCCTAGTCAGAGTGATTTCAATTTCACAAGGGGCACTTAAGCTTTCATTCTTCCTCTCGAAGATGACTGTGTCTGTTTTCATCATTAATGCTATATTATAGTCTGACCAAGTTCATTCTCATATATAGTCTACTTATGAGGCAAGCACTCCTAACACGAATGTCAGAATTATTTCATCACACTGAGAATAATTTTCAAGTCTGTCCTCACAGTGTATGAAGCAGTAAAATGCAGAAATAATGACTTGACCAAAGGAAATTACAAGAATTCATAGCTAGGAGAGCAAAGCATGAGCAGGGAGTGACAGTGAGCCTGTCAGCTATTAGAAGAATTATAGCTTCAGACCACAGGGCTCCGCTTCAGTCCCTTCCTATTTGATGTGTTTATCAACAATTTGGATGAAGACATGCTTACAGCAAATTTCAGGGGCTCTAGAGCAAGAAGATAAGTAATACCCCCGAGTTCAAAGACACAATCTTTCATCTCTGAATCCTCTATGCCTTGCCTGGTTGGACACAGTGAGCACGCAGTCTGTGTTCACTGAAAGGAGTAATTAGAGAAGCAAAATGAAGCAAAAACAAAATAAATAGATACTAAGCAAAATGTAGTTTAACAGGGATAAAAATGAAGTTTAGGTTCAAGAAAAAGCAAATGCGTTAGTATATAATGAAAGAGACCCATTTTAACAATCTGTTGTGTGAAATGAAGGTTTTGCAACACCAAGTTGTCAGTAAGACAGTGTTACTTCTGAAATACAATACACTTGCGCTGCAGTAATAGGAGCATGGGATAAAGATGAGCTCCCCCTAGGCTCATAACTATTCAGACCACAGCCAGAGCACATGGTTAACTCTGGGCTTTTGCTTTTCAAAAGGGACATAAACAATATGAAGCCTGTCCATAGAAGGACAATCAGATCCAAACAGTGACAAGTCAGCACAGACACCATGATCATCATTTCTACCATCATCATTCACATTTGTGTAGTGTTGTAGAGATTACAAGGCATGTTCTCATATGTCTACCTTGTCTGGGGATGACTTCAAGTAAATGAGAGTTTCTTTAACTATCCAGGGCCTGTCCAGTGGGAGAAAAATTAGATTTGCTCTGTGTGGTTTATAATTAACGGAGACATAGGGAGATATTTCAACTGAACTTTACAATAACGAGAGTTTCAGTATTCTTTGAAGTCTTCTATATCAGTCCAAACAGAAGCAATATATTACAGCTGGCACAAAAAACATATTTGCAATGGATAGATAAGCTGCTGATAAATGTATAGCATTTTCAAATGACAGATGGCTTTCTTAGAAAGGCAAAGAGCATCCTGCCTCTGTAGGTTAAAAGCCACCAGAGAAGTTATTAGGTACTGACATGGTGTTTTGACTAAGGTCCTCCATCTCTCTGATTCTTGAGGAAGTTTTCACTCAGGAACTTAGGTGGTGGTGGGATTAATTTTAGTCAGTGTGTACAGATTTTCCCTCTGGTGTAACATTAGCTCTGGTACCCAAAGCCATGCCTGATGTCATGAAAGTGATCAACTGCCTCTGCCTTTTCCTTTTTCATACATCTTTAGACTAGCTGGAACATTTCCTGGCGATAGCCAGGGGCTCTTTCTTCCTTATCCACACCAACCAGGGGCCTGACAGACATTTATAAAGAAACAGCAGGCCTGTGTCCTTACCATGTCCCAGACAAAATTGGAAAGCCAGTAGATGACAGGCTTCACCCCACTAATGAACTGCAGGTGCTTCGCTTTGCTGACCCGCTCCTGGATCAAGAACACGACAAAGCTGGCTGGGACGAAGGACATCGCAAAGATGACACAGATGGACACGAGGACGTCCACTGATGTGGTCATCCTGGAAAGAAAAAGGTGGTGAGGATCTGAAGGGTCTCTGAGGCAACTGGGAGTTCCACTGATGAGGATGTGGACATACACACACTCACAGGCACACATACACATTCACACGCCAGCAGCACACCCTGAGGAAAAGCTGCTGTTCATCAGGTATGTTTTGTTCAAGGTTAAGATAATTTTAAAAAAGAAAACTCCGATGATTTCAATGCAAAACCAATTTTACTAAGATTGAAGAGAGTCAGGTGGTGGGCACAGTGCTTCACACCTATAATCTGGGAGGCTGGGGTGGATCACTTGAGCTCAGGAGTTATAGACCAATCTAAGCAAGAATGAAACTTGGTCTCTTAAAAAAAATACACACACATACACACATATATATATAGGCATTTGGCTTGTGCCTACAGTCCCAGCTACTTGGGAGACTGAGGAAGGAGGTTTGCTCCAACCCAGGAGTTTGAACGTTTGAGGTTTCTCTGCACTAAACTGATGCCCTGGCATTCTAGCCTAGGCAACAGAGTGAGACTCTGTCTAAAAAAAATAAAAAGAGTCTGCTGTCATAGTAAAGCTAAAGAAGGAAATCTGTCTTCACTTTGGTCCATTGTTCTTGACCTTATAAGAGCAGTAAGTTGTAAATTTCCTACAGAAAGGACTAGTGTGGCTAAAAAACTATATAAGACCAGAAACACTAGTATACAACTTACTTTAATAAGTTAATTTTTTCTGGGTATTTATCTTGCAAATACCACCATATAGCATATCAATTTAACACATATAAAAATTCCATCAGATCCTTATAAGAAGAGTCTTACAAGCCCACTGCACATGGTCTTGATACAGAGATCCTAGTGTCCTGTGTACATATTCTGAAGGAGTTAAGCAGAAAGATAACTGCCATGCTCCACATACAGGAAAGGGATCTAAGGTGTGTTGACTACCAATTCCTCTAGGTGCTGACAGAGACCAGATTCAAATCCAGATCTCAATGATTCCAAAAGCTGCACACTTTAACCTAGCTTATGATTAGCCTTAAAATTCTCTCTCACATGCACACAGAGCTTAATTCAGGAATTAAAGACACAAGCTAATAGAAGCATATTACACCGAGTTTAAAACAGTAGTTTTAAAACAAATTAAGCTTTTTTATTAAACATTTATATTAATAGTGAGATAAAGTATTTTAGGATTTTATTAATAATTTTTAACTCGCTTTATATGAATTCACATGTAATGATTTTTACGTATCAGTGCCATTTCTCTTTGGTGGTTCAAGAAGGCCTGCAGCCAATTAATTGGTAAACTCATCATTTCTGCCCAGAGCTTGCATCGACCCAGAGATACCATTATATAACTCTCTCTGCAGCTGTTAACCCTACAACAGCTCCCTGTTCCCTTCCCCTGCTCCATGTCCCTCCTGACACCCTCTTCTTTCCCACCCCAACCATGAAGACACAGTGGCTACACTTACAGAGCCACCTCTGAGAGCTGCTGCTTGGTGAGATTCAGGGGGTGATTGAAAGCAGTAATCCCATATTGGCTCGGATTCTTTCCCTTCTGCAGGTTAGCCCGCAGAATAGCATTGTTGATGACATTCAGGAAAGAGCTGATGGCATGCCAGCCCTTGTTATTAAACCACACCTGAAATAAAACATATCAGATACAAGGTAATACATCCAAACCCTGCTTGGGAAGGTAGGTGCACAAGTACAAAATATGCACATAAACTTAAGAAATCCAAGCCACATACCAAGACAAAGCACTATAATCAGAGAACATGGCAAAGTAACAACAGTACACGAGATACACTGACCACTGACCGTGTGCCCAGGCACGGTGATAGGGACCTTATATATCTTTAACTCGCTTAGTTCTCACAACAGTTTGGAGAGAACCATGATTATTGTCTCCATTTTGTACATGAGGGAACTGAGGCTCAGATAGGTTAAATATCTTAGCCAAGGTCACAATAGTTCACCTGTCATGTCTGGTGACAAAGCAAATTCTCTCAATGACTATACTGGACGGCCTCGCTGGTAGTTACTAGTTTGCTCTTCTCTGTTATAAATGTCCCTCTCAACTTTACCATGAGCTGAAAGTACTTCAGGGAATATAAGAATTAATGTTCACCCAAAAGCTACTAGAACTCAGACAGTGGTTTACCTTAACATTATTTTTGGTGTCCAGTCCTGTCATAAACCTTCCCAAGTTGCTGAGAAATCGATCTGCAGAACTGTCCTGGAAACAACAAAAAGAAACCCGCCTCAGTTGTGATTGTTCACACAGGCAAGGGGGGTCTGGAATCTGTGGATGACAGGACAACCCTGAGAAGAACAATACCACAACAACCTTATTCACTGAAATTAAATTTAAACCCTTAAATAAATGGCTCCTTAAAGCATCAGAAAGCTATAGCACTGATGCTGCTATGATCCCACAAGTCTGGAGAGAAGCACGGAGAAAAATTCAAAATCCAAGAATGTAATGTCTGGCTATTACCATGAGGTGGGACTTTGAAGTATTCCCCTGATGTCACCCTAAGAGCCACGACCCACACTCTAGGTACAGATGAGTTAGACACATGGGCCTGTACCTCAAAAGGAGAGCTACAGTCTCTCAGACTATTACTGAGAAAATCTCTTAAAAATGGAAAACTTCAGAAATGGAGATTTGAAGGGAGTACTCATCAGCTCCCAAGGACCAGCCTGCCAGCTTAAAAGGGAAAATGATTCATTTCCTGCTTAGCCAGTGATTGTTTCACAAAAATATGTTTGAAACCCAGTTTATTTACCCACTGGCTATATTTGTAAACTCAGTTGTTCCAAGAGGTTTTGAATCTCTGAATTTGTTTTTGATCTATTCTTTCAAATATACACAGAGTGGTTCAGTCTCCTCTGGCTCAAATCACTAACGGCAGAAAAACAAGCTGCTAGGTGATCAGATTTACCTGCAAAATAGCCCACTGTCCCAGCAGCTCTAAGCCCATTTTTTCTGGCATGTCTTACAATGAATACTGTACCTTGGCCAGTTTCAAGTGTTTCTTCACTTGTTTGATGGCATCATTAACTTCTTGGCTCGGTGGAAGTGCTTGAGGATTACTGACACCCAGGGAAAACCCGCCATACCTAAAAGAACAGCCTGATGTCAAAACCCAGACAGTGTGGTACACAGTATCCCTCAGCAGCAGACACAGAGCAAGTGTATATATTCTTGTGGTTCCTGATCAGGGAGAGGACTTGGCCTGACGACATACACACAGTTAGACATCTGAGACACAGAGGAAGGAACAGTCATTCATCTCAGAGATGCTCTTCCTACCCGGTGGCTCAGCTCTGAACTTGGGTCTGGAGACAAGCAGATGGGGGCAGGGAGTTCAGGGCAGGTGTGAGGGTCCCAGCCCACAGTAGGCTAGGTAGGACTTATAGAGAGACCTTGGCTCTTTGACAGCATGAGGATCACTATAGGGACCTGTATCTGGTCTGCCCAGAGTCCCAGGAGTCCCGGCTCTTGGTGCAAAGGCAGAGAGGAAAAATGGGAGTTAGTAACAGAGAGCCTTTGGGGTCACCTGAGGCAGCCATATCAGCTATCTCATTTTCCATGATGTAAAAACTGGCTTCAAGGATTCTTCTCCAGTCTCACCTATTCCTTCAAAACCCAGAGGAAAAATGGGTTGAAATGCAATAAAAATAGATGATGTCAAGGCTTCTTTCCTTCTTCCAAGACCTTTCCTCCCATGAAAAATGCCGAAAAAGTTCTCTCTGAGTTCCTAGGAACTCTTGGGAATCTGATTTAGGGGGGAGGTATAACTAAGATCAGTATTCCCCTCAGGACATCTCTGGAGACTCACACGAGATTGATTTCTCAGTCTCCTCATGGAAGCAGCATGCCAAATATTTAAAAGGCCTCTGATGTGGCCACTGGGCACTGAGCAGAGATGCTTTAGGCAAAAACTACAAAGCAAGTCGAACCTTAATCTCTCTATGCCCCTGTGTGCTCCACACGTTCTGCAGGGCCTCTGCTCTCCCCACAGTGAGGCAGCACCCAGGAGTGTGTGAGTGCCAAACAATCCCCAAACCAACAACTTTCTTCAATCCAGGACACCGACATCAAAATCACCCTCCTGACCCAAAGGTGCCAAGGAAAACTAAAAGCCAGGAGATCAACTTACCGAAACTCATTCACCCAGGCCTTGTTCTTTAAGCTGCATAAAGTAAAAACAAAGAAACCAAAATTCAGTTCAAAGAAGGCATTGATCCTCCTCTTGATGATACAGAATGGGTAAATATGCAGCTGAGGTTAAAAGAAAGGGACAGAAATAACCCCATGACTAGGCTGGCGTTACAGGTGTGTACGGATGGAAAAGGGCCCATTCTTAGCTTATCTTTTCTTCTCTCCATTTTAAAAACCTAATTTATATAAGAATCATATCCAAGATTTTAAAACCACCTTCTAGACCAAGATGTGACTGAACTAGAAGCGTTTTCAACCCAAAGTTATACTTCAATTGTAGATGACATGTGGAGAGGCCATGTGTCTTTTTTCATGGTCATTATCATTCCAGTATATCCATGTCTTTTTCCTAACCCAGAGATGCAACTGACCAAATGATGGGAAGGAAACCAGAAGAAACATTTCCAGAGTATCATTAAGCATTCAACACCATGCTTCCATGCCCAGGAAGCTACAAGGCTGCCCCAAGGTCATAGTCAAGGCTGGCTCCTTAGTCTTCCCAGTACTCTCTTCCTGATACTACGTAGTGTCATGGAGTCCATCCAAGGGACAGTAATCAAGACAGTTTACATACATGATTTCATTTAATTGTAACAAACTATATGAGCAACATTAATATCACATCTTATTTTATTTATGTATGCATGTCTATATGTATATATTTATTTCTTAGAGAAGGCCCAAGCTATCTTCAGCCATCCTCCCACCTCAGCCTTCCAAATGCTGAGATTACAGCAGCCTGAACCATTGTGCTCAGCCTAACATCACATTGTATACAAACTAAGGCTTTAGAAGGATAACTGGCTTCCCCTGGTGAAGCATCTGGTAAGTGTCAGAATTTGAAATTGAATCTAGATGTATTTTTATTCATGTAGATGAATGAAGGCTAGGCTGCCTCAAGCTTTAAGATAACAACTGAATATTCATAATCCCTCTCATCATCTTTTCTACTTTGGTATAATATCCTAATATTTCCATTAGACACCATCAGGCCATAATCTGCATTTTCCCCACTGCTCCCATCTATTTGTTATAGGCCTTTAATTCTTCCAATCAGTAATGATAAAGCAAGGGCCAACTTTAGTCAACAGTCACCTTTTTGCTATGATCTGCACATAAGTCTTCACCAGATAATCCGAAATGTTCCTTCCCGTCAGGTTCTGAAGGATGTCTGCAGTGTTCTGTTTTCTCTGTCACCACACAAAAACCAAGCATATGGGTATTTATACACAAGATTTGGAGTCAGAAAACACAGCAAGGCTGATAGTGACTATGCCCCTCCAATGTGTACCATCGTGAGACCACAACACTGACCACAGGGCCTGGGCATTGCCCTCAGCCACCTGGCACCAAGATTGGACTCATCCTGCTCTTGACACTGGTGATTCACTTTTGCCAGGCTAAGGTCTTCTCTGGGAATTTACTCTAAACATCTAAACAATGAACACTAAAATGTGATTCTTCATAGTCTCCAGAGATTTTTAGGAAGCAACATCATTAACTATTCCTAGTGAATTTTTCGCTCATTAGGGTTATACTGTTGACTAGATTAGCTGTTATTTTAAAGAGTGGTAACCAGGAATTTTTGGGGTTTCACCCATTTAAAATTGCTTGTGCTCACCCTGTGACCTGATGAGGCAGCAGAGAGCCATCATACACAGGCCTATTCTTGGACTTGTTCTCAGAAAAAAACAGCCCAGGACTCCTTCTCAAACTCAGAGTCTCAGAGAATGTCATAATTAACAAGACTCACATGAATTTTCTTGACCAGCCTCCCTAATTCAGTGGGGAGACAAGCCCAGGGAATTACAGTGGCCTGGAAAAGGCCACAGGCTAATTTGTGGCAGAACCAGGAGTAAAAGCAAGGCCTGTCTGTCTTGTGACATCAACACTATGTCAGGGAGAAGCATAGGCACAATATGGTCCAGCCTCTCTCCTCTCAAATCTCATATGTTTTTCCCTAAGATGAGAAGTAAGGCCTAGACTGAAATAGACCCTTCTCACATGATATCTCATTCATTCCTGCTCCCAAGCAATAGCTCCCAGCCCACCCCACATGCCTACCTACTCAGTTATACCCTGAGAGTGACTCACTTGAGGAGGAGGCAGCCCCCCTGCCCCTGGGGGACACACGGGCAGCATCTTCTTGATCTTGTCACTGCTACACTGGCAGGCAGGCGAGGGGTTCTCCATCGTCCAGTTCCCATTCTGGAAGAGGTCCATGATGGTCTGGGGAATGGGGGCAGTGGTCCACTCCTCCTCCCCTGACAGACAGGGCATGTCTCTGCAGAGGGAAGGCAGTAAAGGTAGGATCACCACAGAGGGCTTGGCCCCTCTCATTGCCTCAAGAACACAGGATTATTCTCTAACAGCTGCAAACACGCACCCATACCAGGAAGGATGAGCATGGCCTCATTTTACTGTTCAATTCCACAACAACCTTGTATTAATAATTCTACATATTATTTTATAGATAAGAAACATGGGATTCAAAGAGGCCCTAACTGCTCATATACCGAGCTCCATTCAATCCAATCAACAAGCACTTGTTCACACAACAAATATTCACTGAGCATCTCCCATGTGCCAGACACTGTTCTGCAGATTTGAGGGTCTAGTGTGAATAAGACAGAGTAGCTGCCTTCATGGAGGGGTTAAAGAAGTAAACAGTGGAATCATGTAATCTGAGACGGCCAAAAATAAAGCAAAATACATGGAGAATAACTGGGAGAATGGACCTCCAGAAAAGATAATTGTTCAGTCAAAACATAAACAATGACAGAGAATGAGCTAGGCAAAGAAGAATGTTTAAAGCAGAAGCAATGGAAAATTGGAGGAACAAGAAGAAGGCAGCAGGGCTGAGTATGATGAGCTAAGAAAAAGAGGGATGATACATGACAGGTCAGGGAGGGAAAGGCCGGATGACACGGCCTGGAAAGGAGCACGGAACTTATGCTCATTGTGCTGAAAATTTAAGTGCAAAGTGATGAGATCCAATTTATGCCCTAAAATGAATAGAGAATTGGGAGGGTGAACGGGCTGTAAGTGCTTGCTACATGAAGAACCAAGTTGTCTGCAAGTGTCCCAGGAGACAAAACACTAGGCCTTTATCCCCAACTTGAGCTCTGAATAACTGTGAGAACATCAGCAAGCCCTTTGCCCTCTCAGCGCTTATTTTTTCCCACTGGTAAAACAAAAGCATAAATTCTAGTAACCTAGTTTCAAAATTCTACAGTGTAAAGTAGAGCCACAGTCTTTATGTAATTTCCTATGTATTAAAAACACAAATAGACAGTTTTCCAGACTGATCTCTAGTTCTCTCTTTAGAGCACCTTAACCAAATGGAAAAGTCAAACTTTTAAGACAGGGTGCTCTCCTGAAGCTCACACTCTAAAACCTTCAAAAGAGGATTGGCTGAGAAAAACTTAACTGCTGCCAAAATGGTCCCCATCAAATTTCCTTGAGTTCTACCACCTTTTGCAAAACCTGAACTTTAAATTTCAGTAAGAGTGTCCAGGATGGAGCCCCTTCCTTCAGACCGCCTCCAATAGGTGCTTAATGGTGCTCAGACTCAAAGTTGTGAATCCCCTGATGTGAGAGGCCATGAATGCCTCTTCAGCCTCTTTCGTCTGTGCAGGCTAGCTCTCAGACCAGTTCTGGCTCCTACTGATCCTCCCTGGGGTGGTGTCCATACAGTTCAGCTGACCTGCAATGAATCTAGATAACTGTGGTATGTAGTACCATCCCATCTCATTCTTCTATCCTCCCTGTACAACCTTCCCATGGAAAATCAATGCAGACAGGCTGTATCTGGATCCTTCTCTACCCTCAGCATCTGGTTATTTGGGAACCAATATTGGCTGCTAGGTTTTATCAGCAATTAAGTACTAAGCACTAACAAAGATTTAGTAGCTGCCCAATACTAATTAAGAACTAGCAAGTCCATAGTAGCTATTCATTTGGAAATGTGCTCTGTATAAACAGGTACCTTGCTCACCATTGTCATTTGCAGAATGAGCTGTCTTCCCATTAAAACTGGGAATTTAAGTTTGTGCTTCTCCAATTCTCCAGCATCTTCCCAACTCCCCATAATTGCTCAGCAATCACTATTTGTGGTTTAACAACCTCTGCAGCAAATTCTGCCTGAGCCTAGAAACATGAACCTGCCTCTACCAGCCTCCAGCTCCCCCATGAACTCTCCACCCCTCCACCGCCTTTTCTCACAATGATCTGTCTGGTGACTTACCTACCCGAACACACATGTAAGTCATAAGCCTATTTTTGCTAAATGTATTTATACATGGCCTACTTCTTTAAAAAAGGATTTGGAGGAAAGTATGATAAAAATCTGAAACTCAAAAAGAACAAAATGTCCATTTTTATAAAAATATAAAATCTAAAAATATAAAATATATAAAACTATAATGATCTTTTCAGGTTGTTAAAGTGAAGAAGCTGATAAACAAACCTGCCAATTCGAAGCACTTAAGCACAGGAGTTGCGGGGAAGGAGAGATGGGAAAAGCATTTGATCGGTGAGTATAAAGTGCTATTTAAATTAAATATTAATGTTTTAAAGCAGTAAACAAACATCTGTAATGATTTGCTTTGCAGGATGTTAGAAGACTCTCCAAATGTTTCTTCTTAGATGGTTTTATTAGGTTACTATGCTGGCATTTTATAATAAAAAAAAATAATGATTCAAAGGGCAAATGATGATAGTCATGGGGCAGCACATGGCTGATAAAATGTAGTATATCAGAAATCGAACCAGGCAATAAACACAAGAAGCCAGCTATGGCTAAAGTAGCACTCACGGGATTGGATTTCCTTCCATACACCGGGTCCCGAAGCCAGGGTCTTTGGTGAGGGCATTCAAGAGCTCCTGGGTTCCCCTGTCCTCAGGAGCATCATTGCTATGGGCAGATGAGAGGCAGTCATTAAAACCAGGAGGGGGAGATACAAAAGTTTTCTAAATTAAACATTTTATAAAGCACTTCCTATATAACAGGCTCCTAGAAAAGAATAAAAACATAACAAAAATCTTCCACAGAAACCACAAGGAGCTCAGACTCAGGCCACATATTTGGCATCAGGGTAGTATATAGCATTCCAAAGTGGAGCTTGTGTAAGTGGTTATACGTGTGTAGGTGTGTGTAGATGTGTATGCAATGTATACATGCTTGCACACACATTTACTTATGCATTTTAATTTAACATAAAGAAACTTATTAAGGATAAGTATTTCAAAAGTACTTTCACAATTATCCATTTGGCATAGACAAGCAGGATTTTCCATGAAAGGGTAGGCAGAACTTGGCGCCCGTAGCACAGTGGTTACAATGCCAGCTACATACACCAAAGTTGGAGGGCTCAACCCAGCCTGGGCCAGCTAAACAACAATGACAACTGCAACAAAAAATAGCCGGGCATTGTGGTGGATGCCTATAGTCCCAGCTACTCGAGAGGCTGAGGCAAGAGAATCGCTTGAGCCCGAGAGTTTGAAGTTGCTATGAGCTGTGATGCTACGGCACTCTACTGAGGGGCAACATAGTGAGACTCTTGTCTCCAAAAAAAAAGAAAGGGTAGGCAGGTTTTATTGACTGAGTGTTTGCATGGACAACCAGAAAACACGAAAATACTGAGTACAAGTCACAAACACATGCTATATTCCACACCTACAGGTTATATAGGGCCAGCAGCTGGGAATGGAAGGAATAAAGTAAACCTGAACTACGTGAGAAGAAAATACGAAGTTGGGGGAAAAGAGGCCAATTCACATTTATATTGTTCCTTTTTTAAAAAATGCTTCCCTTTTATATCACTGATATACCTTCCCCATCAACAAATCTGCAAATTTCCACAAATGAAGAAAACTCCTACCAAACAAGATCTAGAAATCCTTCTATCCTTATGTTTAAAGCTTTAATTATTATGGAATAGGGTATACCTACTTCTAAAGAGCAAATGCTTATTAACATCCCAAATTTAAAGGAATGGAAAATAATTACAGGAATTGTCCTTTCCAGATAACAAGGACCTAGAAGTTCTATGCTTTGACAATGTATAGATGCCCTGTGACTCAATTACAAAATTAAAGCACAACTGTGAAAATCCAAATATTTAACGCAAAATTCATGTTAGCAAGATGAAGATTATATTACCTAAAACGCATGCCTGTTCCAGACCACATAAAGAGGAGAGATGTTAAAATGTGCAAGAGAAGACTAGCCTACTATGTCAGGGTTAGTTCGCTGCCATTCTTTGCATGCAGTATTAGTTTGGATATGGGCCTTAGCCACAGCTGATAAAATCTATTCCATTGTGTTAACTCTAGAGTCCATTCCCTTGGCCCTCAGCACAATAAACATCCTGGGTCTGCTTGAACCTTCCTCTCTCCTGGGGCACAGACAACAAACACATACCTGACAAACGTGTACTGTTCGTTGTACATCCAGGGCTGAAGTTCCAGGCTGGGGTATTTGCCAAATGGTGGGACAATCAGGCTGAACACCAGGGCAATGCAGACAAACACAGCTGGCAGGACAATCTATAACCAGGCAGTGGCAGGAAAATGGTGAGTGTTAGAGAGAAGGCTAAGAGGCTAGTCACTAAGGGTCCAGCCAGCCTTCCAGAACAACAAGCACGGGAATGAGGGGTATAGGGCCCACAGCTGGGCTGCTCCAAGGCATTCTTGGCAGCTGGGAAACAACAGAGCCTGAAAACTAAACAACTTCCCTGGCATCATGAGGCCAGACGCTATGGCCACCTGGCAGAGGCCCTGAGCTGGAATCTTGACAGAGTAAACAGGGATAGCACGTCAGGGTAACACAGAACATTGGTTCCTGCCTCCTCTTTCTCCTAAAGACTGGCAAAGACCACACTGCACGTGGACTGCACAGAAATCCTGAATCCTAGTTCCGTCTCTACTGTAAATGCACCCGTGTGAAGACACTTTCCCCTCTGGCCTCAGTTTTCTCATTTTAATCTGGAGCCAAGGACAGATGACCCATTCAAATCCCACACTCTGATAGAACTAACTCTCTAGCACTGGCTCTAGTCAGAGATAATCACAACCACTGTTTTCCGTGATTTCCTCAGAGAGCAGAATTATCCAAATCCTTCTTGAACCTCCTCGAACTTTCTACCATATAGTCTCTGAAAACAATGACTTACACTTTATAAGTAAACCCAAAACTTCATCCATTATTGCTGACAAATTTATCAATTTATCCTTAATAAACTTATGGATTCAAATGATGCCACCGGGTCTAATGTTCTGGGGTTCAATGCAGAAAATTATCACTGAATGAATAATTCTATGGGAGAGTACTATCATAAGCATTATCTCTATTTTGTCATTATTTATGGTGGCATTATCATTATCACCATCAACAAACAAGGTAATTGAGGATCAGACACACTAAGCAACCTGCCCAAGGCATACAGCAAGTAAGTAACAGAGTCAGAGTCCAGATCCACGTCTGATCCAAACTCCTGTTTTTAGCATTACCCACACAGTCTGTAGAAGACACTCTGCAGACCCTTTCTCTATATTTCTTGATTTTATAGAGTGAAATAATTTTAACCTTTCTAACCAAGCCACTTAGCGTGCAAAGGCTGACATGCAGGCAACAATGTAACGAGTCTTCTCTGTTGGCCAATTATATTCTGATTTCGCTGGCTGTCTTTTCTACCACTTTGAGTTAAACATGAACTTAGAGAGAAATCTTGTTTCTAATAAGTTCATAGGTCCAGTGCATCTGGGCATAACATTTCTCCTGATAACAGGAGAATATGCTCAATTTTTTGTATTTCTTTTCTGAGACAGGGTCTCACTCTGTCGCTTGGACTAGAGTGCCATGGCATCGGCCTAGCTCACAGCAACCTCAAACTGAGGTTCAAATGATCCAACCAGCTTTTCGAAACTCTGTCCTTTTTATCTCTCCTCTAAAAGAAAAGTAACATACATACACACAAAACTAAGCGCTCATTAAAGTTATGCCCCATTTTATTCTCATAAAAACCTATATAGCAGGTACTATTATTCTCTTCATTTTATAAACGAGGAGAATGAGGCACAGAGGAGTAACTTGCCAGGAGATACACAAGTGGCAGGAAACAGAAATGGGATTCAGATAATCCGGCTCCAGCATCTGTATCGTGACCACAACACTGTCCTGCCTTCACTGGACAGAGAGCCCGCAGGCCACCCATGCCTGGACAGCACATCTCACCTGAGCAAAAAATCCTTTCCGACTCCGTCTGGCAATCAGCAGCCTCTTCCACAAAAGAGCCACAAACTGCTGCTGTGTGAGTTTCCAGCCCTTCACCTGGTAGGAGCCTTTGCCGTCCATCCCACTCAGTAGGTCCGTTTCTCTGGATTCTGCAAGAAGCCAGCACTGAAGGTCACCAGTTATCTTGGGTATTTCTGACACCACCATGGTCCTTCCCCAGTATCTGCAGCAACCATCTTGGAGGCTTGTGTTTTAAGCTCAAATTATCTCAGAAGTATAGGGCTTTCATGACAAATCTATGTCCAAGGAAAAATTATGACTCAAAATGTCCATAAGTAGTTTATGCCTTTTAGTCCTTGTCTCACGAGGACAGAAAAGGTACCTCGATACAACTGACATGATGTTTTTATACATTTATAACTGGGTGTTACAGCAAGCCATTTGGAGGAATCAAGTCATCAATTTCTTAAACTACTATGAAAAAAGCCATGGATGTAAGGCTTACATACTTGAGAACACGCAATGGCAATCAGTTTCCCATTTATTATATGTATTTTGGTAAAAGGTGAACACATTTCAAATGACCTAAGTTCTGACAACACCCAAAGTCAAGAAGAACATAAGAGCTACAAACTCAAGTGACCAAGAGTTGGGAAAAGCAGAAAATTTTCTGTTCCTATAAAGGTTACATAAATCCTTGTCTCAAACTACCAATTCCTCACTGGGGTGCTCTGACAGCTTACTAATGTTTTATATCTGAACTCCTATCTCCATCTCAGTCAAATGCACGAGGATACGCTCATCCAAAATATCTAAGTCTTAGGGGTATAATGAACTCTGAAAGTGAATTTCTCTCTTGGATTCTTTCAAAATCATTCATCCATTCAATGGTTATTTACTCAACAATTAAATACCTGATGTATGCAAGAAACTGGGACCCTACAAAAAAGATTATAAATAAATGGGTTCAGAGGACGGAGGCATCCTCTTTCTACATGTATCTTGAGAGGATCTCAGCTAAATAAGGGAAGTGGTAAGAATGGACTGTTCCAGGTTTGACCATATGCTTTAACACTGGAAATGGAAAAGTGGCTTTTCTCATTTTCTCGCTACCCTTTGGACCCCCTGTAGGAATCTATCATCTTGGCTAAAGGCTATCAAAAGAAAACAGCTGAGAGAACATAAGAGAGCAAATCATTTTCAAACAATGGAACATAGGTCTTATCCAAACAGACCTGGGTCAATGTCAGAATCATTCGGATCAATGGCATCATCTTCAGTGAATGGACGAAGACAGCTCTGCCTGTCTCCGAAGGCCCGTCTGTTCCGTCTTGCTGGCAAAGTACCATCTGAAGGCAAAAGAAAGGAATCCACACAGTTTATTTTATTTATAACAAAACAAACCTTCCCCACCTGAAATAACATCTATTCACAAAAAACTGAGAATGCAGTGAACAACTCAAAGGGAAAGGTACAATACTGGGTAGCTAAGACAGCCTGTAGTGCCTCCTCAAGAGGATTACCTGAGGTCTCAGCATCCACGCCACTCTCTTCAGCCACTTTGAGGAATATCTGAAATATCAGAGCAGGTAAAAACATAAGCACCAACATTATGAGAGCAGCCATCACTGCCATGGTTATTACATTATCGAATGGCCTGAAAGCTATGTAAGGCGGGGAAAATAGGAGTCACGTTATTAATAACTTTGTCAGAGTCATTTGGGAAAGAAGCTGGTTTTGCCAGAGAACATTTCCTCAGTGGCGAGAGCTATCAATCCAGACAATCATTCCCAAATCAAAGCTACAACATTAGGAGACTGCACTGGAAGAAATCTGAACCTACAGGGAATGAGTCAAGTGTCTTCTTTCAGATCTGTGGCCCCAAATCTTTGAATAGGCCACCACTGTGGTAAGTTATTCAGGACAGAATGATCAGGAGGAAACAGATTGCCCATTACTAGAAATACTATGGCAGAAATTCCAATATCAGAGGAGAATCTGAATGAGATCAAGGATTTCCAAACTGTGGTCTATAGACCACTGCATAGGAAGCATACAATAAAAGTACAGACTTCAAGGCTTTACCCCTAGAAATTCTGATTCAAAGGCCCTCAAGTCGAGCTTAGAATTTTTATTGTCAGTAATCTCTCTATGAGCTGCACAGACATGCTTGGAGACCACTGGGCCAGATAACTTTTATATCCCTTCCAGCTCTCAAAGATTATGATGTTGTATCTCTAAAGGGAGGCATTACCCACATACGAAAGTATGGGCTTTGAAGCCTAAAACCCCTAATTCTGAATCCCAGCTCAGAATCCCTGAGAGTCATTTTTTTTATCTTGTTATGAGGATTAAATGAAGTTACAATGACTTTTTTAAAAATACCACGTTTAACACTCAGCACAAGTAGATTATCCATAATGTTGGTCACTTCCTGTGCATGAGAGTCCAGCCAACACAGGAATGACCCAGTCATACTAGCGAACAATCCTAATACTTCTTTCCCACTCTCTCCCACTATGATCTTCCATGGGTAACTAAGGCCAACATTACTCAGATGTCAATGACCTAAAAACTCAGTGATGAGCTCCATGATAATCCTATTCCCAATAAAGCCTGCCTATCTGGATTTAGGACTGCTGGCCTTGCTATATTCTATCAGCCACTTCACTTACTTCTTCCAGGGTAGTCTCTGAAATGCCATAACTAGAGATGCCCAGGTCTGAGAGCCGGTCATCAATCTCATGGAAGAGTTCCACAAAGGCCCCCTCTTTAGCAGCTTCATAGGGCAGCACGTAGGTCAGTTCATGTCCGATGTCTTCCACCAGCCGGGCTTCAGACACATGCTTCCTGATGAGGTTGGAGATAGCGGAGACATCTGCAGGGACCAGAGTGCAAAGATGGCTCAGTCAGCTCAGAGGCTCCACAGTAAAGGCTGGCCATCCCCACCTTCTCCCTCCGCCTACTGCTCAGAAGCCTGCAGCTCACACGCTACACATGCTAAAGCCTATCCCAGGTGCTTCAGTCATTCTACATGTATCTCTGGCCTGCAGTTCCAGGGGGCAAAGCCTATGTCTTCTTCACCTTTGTACCACCAAAGCCAGCACACTCAGTGCAGGATGGATGGATGGATAGACGGATGGATGACTTCCTAAGTTTAAAACCCTGGTGTCTATTGCCTAAACTCTATGATTCTTAGATGAAAAACTTGATTAAAGGAATTTTGAAAGAGTCTTCACTCTTCCCTAAACTTTTAAAGGAGACTTCCTCTATCTACTTCAATAGAAGGTTAATCAAACGGTTCATGGAAACATAAGTCTTCCTGGGAAAAGCCAACTATTAGGACTGGGCAGAGATGTCCAGGGTTAAGACTTCAGTTCCACATATGCTACACTGGCCTCCTATACATACCACCGGAGGAAAACACACAAAGCTTTTTCTGATCTCCTGGGCGTTCACCCTCCTTGTACACTGAGCTCAGATCCCTGTACTCACTGGCTTACCCTTAGCTCCTCATCCCTGGTAGCAAGTGTCCAGCCAGACCCACTCCCCTGAGGGATTTCTCAACCCCCAATCATCTCAGCTCTTTAGTACACTGCCCTACCAGATCCCAGACCAAGCCCCAGGCTCCCAAGCAAGCATTAGGCCAGCCCCACCACCAAGCTGCACCCGCTCCCGCAGCCACCCAGCCCCAGCCCAGCAGCAAACCTTGAGTCAGTGCCACCAGCCTCTGCACCTCTCCTCCTCTGCCTCCACTCTGCCCAGCTGGGGGGAGCTCAGGCACCACCTGAATAAGAAACCCCAGAGTCCTTACCGATGGTCAGCGTGTCACTTTCATGGTCGCTGCCCAGGCCAGCATCAGAACTGCTCTGAGAAACACTGTCCTCCTGATGGCAAAGAAGGAGGTGAGAATGGGTCAGGGACCGAGTGCGGTACAGCTGCCACCACCTTCGCCAGTGAGGCTTCCAGGAAGCTCTATTGTGTGAAAACTGAAGCAAAAAGCTTTTCTTGGGATGCACACAGCTGGAAGCCATGACTTTAGAGGCCAACACAGGACACATTCAAGGTGCAGGCACTGTGGACACCTCGCTTCCTAGGACTAAGAGGGTTGTCACCAGAAATGAGACCTGCCAACAAATGCTGCAGCTAGCCACGTGCTCACCATCTCAGGCACGGGCTTTACCTGGCTACTTGTCTAACTCAATGCTTCTCAAGCTTTAATTTGTGTTCAGTCACTCAGAGACCTTGTTAAAATACAGATTCTGATTCAGCAGGTACGAGTTAGACCCAGGTTGCTGCATTTCTAACAAGTTCCCAAGTGATCCTGATGCAGCTGGAACTCAGCACGCTGCAGGGCGGAGGCTCTAGTTAAAAGGTAAATAAGCAGATAGAAGTTCAAGTTGGGATGTAAATGCATCAGGCGATCTTGGCTTCAATACACAAATAAATCTCAGGCATGGACTGTGGTACAGAAGAAAGTGTACCTGGGTCTGGTCCCACCTCTACTATTACCTGCTGGTGACCTTGAGTAAGCTACCAAATCCCTGTGGCTCTCACTCCCCTCACATGGGACAATAATTATAATACCTCCACTCCAGGGTTTCTCTGCACTTTAATAGAGATGACAGACATAAAAAAGAAAAAGTTTGTGAGTGGTAACAATGCTATTAAAAAATTAACTATTATCATTCTTTTCTTTTCTTTTTTTTTTTTTTTTGGTTGCAGTTTGGCCGGGGCCGTGTTTGAACCTACCACCCTTGGTATATGGGGCCAGCACCCTACCCACTGAGCCACAGGCACTGCCCTCTCATTATTTTCTTTTATGCCTAGAGTCTGTCTGGCATGGAATCGGACCTTCATAAATATTCGCTGTTTTGTAGTTTAAAAGTTAAAAATCAATGAAATTTAAAGGTAATGGGCAGGAACACCAGGTCATTTTATAGCCAAGGCTCTTACCACTTGACAAGTCTCTTTTCTTTGACATAATAAAGTCCTATCGCTCATTGTACTCCATATGAAAAAGGAAATGGGATTCAACTGAATTAGCACAATGGGAACAGAAGTCTCCTGAACTGAGCGTGTATGAGGTATGATGTGATTCCAAAGGGATCACAGAGCAGGGAGATGGTGGACTCGGTGTGGCAGAATGAGGAGGGGGTAGACAAGCCATTCACAGCCAGCCAAGAAGCCCCACCCGCCCCGACCCAGCACCAACCAGACCAGCACCAAGGCTGCAGCTCACCTTTTTCAGGTATGACACTGTACTGCTGCTATTTCTGCAGGAACTGAGGGAGGATTCCACATCTTTCTTAACCAGGGTTAGGTAGTAGCCTGTTCCCAGCTGGTTCTTCAGAAATAGGGAGGAGCCCACACAGCACAGCTTCCCATGGGAGATGATGGCAATCCTGTCCCCTAAGATGTCCGCTTCATCCATGTGGTGTGTGGAAAGGATAATGGTGCGGCCTGCCAGACACAAACACAGGATGGGGGACAGGTTAGGCCTATCAGTTCTCATTGATGACAGTGGCAGGGACTACAGACATACTAGCAGGGGTCTACATGGGAGAGAAACCTGGAAGGCACCTTCGATAATGACTAGTGGCTGTGACCCCTAGAATGGCAAAGCTTTGCAGATAGCTACTGTGTCCCCAGAGAAATAAGTACAGCAGTGGGTTTGGGGGGAACTTGCTATATGCCAGGCATTATGCTAGGTAGTTTATGTGCATTCTCACTTAACTTAATCCTCTATCAGTTAAGCACCACCAATATTATAGGAAAGGAAACTGAGGAAAGCTAACTGGCTTTCCCATAGTCCCTGGGCCAGCAAGACCTGGCCTCAAAGCCTGTGCTCCTTATACTGTACCATGACGTATCTCTAAGCAGACAGCCAATCATGTCCCTGCCCCTCTCCCATTCCATTCATTGATTCATCTACTCTTTCAACAAACACAAATTTAATGCACCATACAAAAAGAGGGAGAAAGACACAGCCTGTGCTCTCAGGACTCTCAGTGTGTGAGTTCTTTGCCAGAGGTGGTGGTGGGGGCAGTGGGGCACAGAGGAGGTGCCCTTTACCACACATCTCTTCTTTTGCAGGCCTGTAGGTAAAGAAGCACAGCCTCGAGTGTCTTGTGAGCCAGGTCTCCCACCCCTATACCATGGCTGTGTCAAAGCACTGAACTTTGACAAAAGAAGTCCCTCGTTTTCCCTGAGAAGTAAATTCTACTGCCTTCCCTGACCAGAACAGCCGTAAGAGCCAGTCATACTTCTCAAGAGCCCCTCCCTCTCCTAGTCCACGACTCAAAACAAATGCATATCAGTTACCTTGTCGGTATTTTAGCAGCAGCTCCCAGATTCCCCTGCGGGAGTAAGGGTCCACACCAGCTGTGGGCTCATCCAGAATGACAACCTTGGATCCCCCCACAAAGGCCAAAGCCACAGACAGCTTTCTCTGCATTCCACCTATAAGAAAGAGAAAGAGAAAAGGATGAACTCCAGGACTAGTACCAGGTAGTGAGTGAAGGCAGAGGACCTAGGGACATAGCCATGGACCAGCTTCTATCCACCCGCCCACCCAGCCTGGGCCCCAGGGCAGCTGTTGTTTTTCCTCTGTGTAGGACCAGGCGAGGGGAGATGGGCAAGGTAGCTCCAGGCCACACCTGACAGCTGGCTTGTTTTGCTTTTCAGCTTGCTGGGCGGTAAACCAACATCCAGAGCCATCTGCTCCATTTCTGCCTTCACATACTTCTCTGAGAGTCCCTTTAAACGGGCATAGAACCAGATATGTTCTTCAACAGTCAGCCTGGGGACAGAAGGGCAGGTCAGCTCTGGGCCCTGCAGGATACACCAGAATACAGTGTCTCCTGACCCAGAACAAAAGGAATAGACACATTTTTCTTTGCCCCATTTTGTTTTGTTTTTTTACTTTATCAATTTCTGAAAAATAATTTTCAGTATTCATGGTAGAGCAACAGTAAGCAACCACGTGAGCTTAGGAAATCAAAGCTTAAATGTGACAGATCACTTCCATCCTACTCCCACCAGGCCTGGCCACCAGGCATCGGGCAGGGGCATTAAATTTCAGGTCCCCAAGATGTGGTCCTCAAAGGGCTCTCCTGATAGCCAGCCCCATCAACTAAGAATTTAGCTCAGTATTAGACTGAAGTAGCCCTCCTGAACCTTAAGGGACCTCCAACTCTGAGAGCAGGAAGGACTTTGGGGAGCACAAGAGCCCAAACTGTTCATTTTAGATAAGACTTTGGGTCAATAGAGGGAAGGGCCTTTTCCAAGGTCACAGAGCTCAGGTCCCACCACAAGGGCTCCTTGGGGCTCTTTTGATGGTGGGACAATCTGAGTGGCAGCAAATGTCTGGAGCAGGAAATACAGGGCCATTATGCCAGGGCCCTGAGACACCAAGTGATGGACAACTAGGTCTCACTGTGTCCAGGAAGGCAAGCCTGACACCCAGAAAGGAAGTAAAATGCTTAAGTCCCACTCTGCCCCCATGACTGCGTGACACACACACCCAGGAAGGGCCTGTTCTCCATGTCCTGCTGGTACTCACATGTCAAACAGGACATTGTGCTGGGGACAGACCCCCAGGTTCTGCCGGATGGTACTCATCTCAGAGCGAATGTCTTTTCCCAAGATGTAGGCAGTGCCTGAGGTGGGAGGGAATAACCCAGTCAGGATTGACCTGAGGACAAAAATTAAAAAGCACAGGTGTCAGGGATGACCCATCCTTAACTCTAGACACTCCATTCCAGGCTGCAGAGAGAGCAGAGAGCACTAACCCACCCACCTCCTGCTCTTTTCTAATGGACTCTAATGGAGTCTCACAAAGCAAAGAAGTCTTTGCTTCAGTAAATAAGTAGGATTGGAGCTATGTGTCGGAAATGACAATTTTAGCATAGCGTTTTTAAAGTGAAGTTTCTAATTTTCAATGGAAAGTGTACTTTAAAATATATATCTTGTATGCCTAACATCACATTAATGAAAAATGGACAAACCAGAACTTATAATTCAAGGATAAAAATAATCTTTGTGTTAGGTGGTAGCATTTCTGAGTGCCTTTTAAAAGTTTTCTGCAATGTTCATCATACATTCATTTTACATTAAAGAAGAAAAAGAAAAACAAGAAAAGATAGACCCTTTGAAATGGTTGAGGACCTACACTAAATGGTTGCTCCCTTCGGACACTGACCCTTTTAAGGTCCTTGAGGTCCTGGAGAAAGCAATCAAGCCAGTTGCCCAGCTGCTTCTCACATATGCATGGAGAGGTATCTGAAAACCACCATCTCGCCCCAACCTATCTAATCTTTCTTTCCAGATTCTCACTTTATAGTACTGACCAAATCAGCTCAGCTCCCAAGGAGACCCTTTCTCAGAGCTGTCATGGCCTCAGTTTCTAAGATCACTGCAGAATTCTGAGAACTACATGGGAAAGGTCCTCAGCCTGTCTCAAGAGCTAGTGCATGGAAAGTATTCTCATGATTCAATGATGTTTTTACCCTCATCAGCTCCCACCCTAGCTCCAAATCCCCTCACAGCTTCCTTAAGTGTGAATTTCTGAATACACTGCAGAACCTCCCCGTGGATGACTCTGTGAGAGCCACGCCCTATTCTTACATGGTGGTTGTCTTCCCAGCTCCGTTGTGCCCCAGGAAGGAGGTGATCTGTCCCTCATAAAAATTCAGTGCCAGGCCATCGACAGCCACTTTCATACCATCCTGGTAAACTTTTACCAGGTTCTGAATGGACACGCCCAGCTTCAGGTGGGTGGGTTCCTCCTCCATACAGACTGTGAGAAGAGAGAAGACAGGCGTGAACACCCAGAAAGGACTGACAGGTGGAGTACGAAGATGCAGGGGTCTGTGCTTGCACTTTCAGAACTGTCTTTTCTCCAGGGCCATCCTGGTTTCACACACAAGCATGGCATGAGGCTATAAATATTTAGGTAGGGCTTATTTAGGCTCTGGCATTGGTGGTGGGACTACAATGTTAAAGGAGAATTCACAGTCCATTAGGGGAAAAAGACTTGACAAGCAATTATAATGTAGGATGCTAAAACTTGTTTAAAGAACACATCTAAAAGCTCCATGGAAAGGTGGTACACCCATACCATACAACACAACTCAGCAATGTAGAGGCATGAACTGGTGATACACACCACAACTTAGATACATTCCAAGGGAATTATGCTGAGTGGGAAAAAGTTACCTACAGTAGGTAAATGTGCACCTGGTTCCATGTACATAACATTCCAGAAATAATAAAACTGTAGAAATGGGAACAGATCAGTGGTTGACAGGTGTCAGGAACTGAGAAAGAAGGGAAGTAGGTGTGGCTATTAAGGGGCAGCATGAGGAAGCTTTGTGGTGCTGGGACAGCTCTGCAGCTTAACTGAGCTGGTGACCATATGAGTCTACACGTGCAATAAACAGCACAGAGCTAAATGCAGACCCCCTCATGAATAAGTGCATGTGAAACTGGTAAAATCTGAATGTCTGAATGGTACTAATGTCAATTTCACGGTTTTGCTATAGCGGGATGTTACCATTAGGGGAAACTTGATGAAAGGTATAAGGGCACCCCTGTTACAATGTTTTCGAGATTTATAACTATTGAGTATAAACTGTGAGTTTATAACTATTTTAAAATAAAGAAACAAAATTTACATCCCATGGAAGTCCAGGAGAGGCAGTGACTGTCTACCCGAGCATTTGGGAGGGCAGCTCAGGGGAGGGGATACTAAATTAGATCTTGAGGAGTGAAGAAGAGTTCAGAAGACAAGCAAGTTTATCAGAAGATTTTCTTATAGGAGATAATGACATACACAAAGGCATGGAGGTATAGAAGAAAATGACATGTTCTAGCAATTGAGAAAAGTTCTGGGTTATTGAAAAGGAGCCAGGTGTAGAGACGGGGTAGGGAAGAGGAACAGGAACAGCAGGAGAAGCAGCTGGAACAGTGGGCGAGTGTGCCATGCTAAGGAGCACTGTACTCTTACCACTAACAACCAGGGAAGGGCACAGAAGAGACTGGAGGCAGAGGAACCTATGACCTCCTTAGGCAGGAAGCTAGACTGAGCGCAAAGAACCCAACAAAAATCCCAGAGGAAGAGCCTTTGCTAAACTGTGGGCATCTCCCAGCAGTCAGGAGACAAAAGAGGATTAGGGCTCTGGATAATGAAGGTGATAACATTAAGAGGGACAGATTAAGCTCCATGGTGGCCACGTGGTGATAGCCTACATGGGCTTGTATGTGTAGAGGCAGTGAGACGTCTTTACCTCTTTCTTCTAGCTTGTTAGGATAGCATGAAAAGTGTGTATGAGAGAGAGGAGGTAAAGGTATAGAGAGCAAAACTCCTCTAGAAGCCAAGAAAACAAAGGAAATGACCCTCAGGGGTCCAGACAATGACTCCCAATAAGTCAACAGCACTGGACACAAATGGCATAAGAGAATCTGAAACGGGGCAACGCACGTGATCTCTTGGCCCATGGAGTGGTTCTAGAGTCTTACTAAGGGCAGGAGCCATGACTTGCCCCCAACAGTCAGCACAGGCAGCAGCACTAGGGTAAGGGAAGGTGGTCAACAGCACTTACTTTCTGATACTCCCTTGTGGCTGGAGCCAGGGTGGCTCTTGTCCTCACTTTCCTCACCAAACCAGTAAGACTTGGTGCAAGGAAAATACCAGGGCCTGGGAATGCCATACTGGCCTGAAAGCAGAGCACAAGTGTGAGCCAAACTTTGCACCACCCCAGTATTCCCAAGACTTCCCAGCCAGATGCATTCCCTCCTTGATACACACTTTGGAGAAGGAACAGATTGAAATGGAGATAAAGAAAGGGAGGCCAACATTGGCTGAAACCTACTATGTAGAACGTACAATCTGCACTTCCCTAAGTCCTCCCAACAACCACATAAGGCAGGTGCCATCTCCATTTTAGAGACAAGGAAACTGAGGGTTAAGTAGTCTACCCAAGCTCATATAGCCAATAAATTATGGACTCAAAATTTGAATCCAGACTCTGTATGATACAAAATTGCATATTCAAGTAGAGATAATAAATATTTCATGTGTATCTCCTTAGAGGAGAATTGGAAGGTGAACCAGATAAACCTGGGACTGTCATAATTCTATCTTACATGAAAGTCTATGTCAAGGCAGGTTCATCATGGACTTGGTCAAGAAGATTTATTAAGTATCAGTGTGAATTTGTATTAAATGCTAATCTGATTAAATAACAGGCAGGCCTTAGAGCTAATATATTTTGTCATTAATAATCTGTATGCAGGAAACAGAAGCTCTCCCGGTGGCACCCCTCCCCACAGGGGAGAACTGTGGCAGCACTGGGAGGATGCTTCTGGGCTCACACCCATTGTGACCTAATTGGATTCACCTCCAAGCACCAACACTCACCAGCTGTGTGACCACAGGCACATAATCTAACTTCTTTGAGTCACACTTCTCTCATTTGAAAAATCCTGGTTATTATGGTAACTACCTTAGAGTAGCCCTATGAGGACTAAATGAACCGAAGTAAATAAAACACTTGGCATGATGCATGGCATGCAGTTTTCAAGAAATGAGTGCTGTACAAATACTGACAACTGTTCTTTCAGCAACAGTTACCTCACCTGGGACTACTTGTGTGCCACAGATCTCAAGTCCACACTGCTTTCTGGGTAGCCCCACACCCTGCAGACATCCCTAGAAGGTGGCCAAAGTAGTGTGGAAGCTCAGCGTACCTGGGAAGACGGCCTCGATGTACCACGTCATCACGCCATAGAGGAAGCTATCAAACAGCATCATGGAGACCGACGTGGTGAGACTGAAGCCATCTTCCTCCACGGGGCTCTTGAACAGGTTATCCCACTGCACCCCAATGCCCTGCTCCTCAAAAAGGGCGAAGTATTCACAGCCAAACCCGAAAGCCACAGGAGAAAGCAGGCTCTGCAAGAAAGAGGCAGTCATTACTTATCCACTTCCTTGTCTCTCTCATTTCTCATTAGTCACTGCTAATGTAAATTACACCCGGAGAAACCTGAATTTGCAAAATGGATCAATCATAGGATACAGAAGTTCACCTACAGACTCCCTTTAGGGGAGTGGGCTCCCTTGTAGCACATAAAATGATTCCATTTATAAGCGCCCATTATGAACCCACATTTTAGAAATGTATGTATGACAGGGTATAAAACTTTAAGAATGTTATGTTTCCCAAGATGCTCAGAGTCTCAGCAATCCTGCCCTCTACACCCCCCACAATACACACATGCTCACCAAGGTTCTCTCAGGCTGACTCAGAAGAGGGGAAGGGGCTGCCTGGCCCTGCTGGAACCTGTGGGGCCCAGAATGAGCCTCCTGAAGCATCCTAGGAAGACTTTTAGCTTTCCCAGGGGACAGCTGGCAACTTGCTCTTATAGAGAGTCATACCCTTCTCAAGGCTTCTCCTACTCTGTACAAGGGAGAGATGTGTCCAAGTCAGAGATTTACGGGAAGATGGGACATCTGCTCCTTAGTCTTGTGCAGTACAGAAACTACTTCTCAAGCAAAATACTGTACTAGACATGAAGGAAGACAGGGTCAAGGAGGAGTCATATCTGACCCTCCAGAGTTTTCGGCTCTATCTGTGACTTGACTTTGTGGCAAGTTTAACATGGCCAACAGAGCCACCGGAGGTAAACGGTGGAGATGGCACCTACTGCTTAAAGCCATTCATCCCCAGTCAGGTTCCAGATTCAGTCCAGCTCTCTGAAAAAATTCCCTTCAACTCAATTCAAGATGGAGAGGACTAAAAGTAAACAATCTAATAAACCATAATCCCCACAGAGCTTAGCATGTAGAACTGAGACTCTTTTCTTTTCCTTTTTTTTTTTTTTTTTTTTGAGATAGAATCTCACCCTGTTGTCCCAGACTAGAGTACTGTGGCATCATAGCTCATAGCAACTTCAAACTCCTGGGCTCACGTGATCCTCTTGCTTTAGCCTCCAAGTAGCTATGTCGACAGGTGCCTCCCACATCGCCTGGCTAATTTTTCTATTTTTAATAGAAAAATTGCTCTTACTCAGGCTGGTCTCAAACTTCTAAGCTCAAAGGATCCACCCTCCTCAGCTTCCCAGAGTGCTAGGCTTACAGGTGTGAGCCACGGCATCCGGCCAGAACTAAGACTCTCAACTACTGCTCCCTGATTGCTACTTCTCTTCTGCAACCCCAGGGCAAAGCCAAATGCCCTGGGTGGCCATGATGGTAGCCACTGCGGAAGCCCAGGGTACTTACAGCGAAGATCTTGAGTGTGAAGCCCACGTAGTCCTGCCATGCCACACACAAGACATAGGGCAGGTACAGCATGAAGTAGATGATGCCCCCACAGGCTGCCGCCAGGTTGGCTCTGGAGAAGAGTGTGCTGATGAGGAAGCACTGCAGGATGGTCACCACAGCGAACACAGACAGGAAGACAAACACCACACTGGGCTCGCTGTAGGGCAGCAGGTTCCCTAACTGGGAGGGAAGAGACCCATTATAGAGGCTGCCTTGACAAGCCTAAGCACTCACTTGCGTGATCTCTGGGGGAAAGTCAGGGATTGTTCATACTTATTATCTTAGACACAATGCAGAGGCATAATGTTGTTCACTTTTCTGATGAGGAAATTGAGGTCTAGAGAAGAGAAATGACCTACCCAAGACTATACAGAGAAAAATAACAACTGAATTAGGAAGAGTCCAGGGCTTTCTAGTCCATCTTGAAGGATTAATTTGTTTTTTGTTTCTCTGATAGGTAATATTAACTGGTATCTCCTTTTAGAAAAAGTTATGGGAGATAATGTCACTTACAACTTTGCTCTCCAAAAGCCAAAAAAGAAAAAAAAATGGCCAGGCAACCTTAATTTACCCCTTGATAACTATGGATTCTACATTTCCACAATCATCCAAACTCTTGTGGATATGTGGAGCTTGTCTCTGGTCATTGTATGTATTTCTGCAGGACCTGCCAACATGCAGTTGTCCCAGAGCAGCTCTCATACACCAGCCACAGGACCATCACCCCTGCCACAGAGCTTGGCCCAGCATAGATATTGGTTAGATATCTGAGCATGAGATATCTGAGAAGTTTTTGAGCAAGAACTTCTCTCCAATTCCGGCTCTGCCATCCTGCTGTGTAACCTCAAGGAAGTCCTAGGCCTTCCTTTGCCTCATTTCCTGGTATATGAAATGGGTTTTTTCATAAAGTCATAAAAAGGCAATCCATGTGAGATGCTTAAACAATGCTTGGCGATCAATGAGTGCTCCTTTGCAACAGATCGTAGCTAGTATTAAATGTTACTTCCTATCTCTTCATAATGACATTTATTTTTACATGATGCTTCCTTACATGAAATGCTTGTGGAAAAAGAAAATTGATGAATATATTAATATACAAGGAAGACACATAACTGCACTGCCCAGAGCTCTCTCTAAGGGAGGGCTTCTTGCCCCCATTTCAGCATCTCTGGGATTATCACAGCTGCAGAAAGCCACCAAGCCCTGGGACCCACCCTTCCCAGAGCAGCCCACATCCAGTGATTAATCGAGGTGGCCAAGGCAGGTGATGTCAGAGAAGGAGGCCGCAGAAGAGCACAAAGGCTGGATATTTTAGCTCAAAGAAAAACTCCCATGAGTTGTATATTCCCAAGGACCCGGTGGGCCTGGCGCTGAGTCACAGCCCAACTCCTCCCTCTGCCAACCCTATGTCCACCATATCCCTTCGATAGATGATAATTCCTAATAAAAGCTCATACACATCAAACTGTTTTAGATGCTACTTCCAGACAATCTACATCCTTCGATTAACATTTATAGGAACTCAGAAAGAATCACCACCCAATACACCTAAGAAAATAAATAGCTCTCCGACACTGCCATGAACCACTGCCAAGCAGATGGCATGTTGTATCTGACTGTGCACCTGGCTGAGAAGCATGAGCCCTGGGATCTTGTCCTGCTTAGCTGCTAACCAGCTGGGCTGACCCTCAGCCAACCCTCGGTCCTCTCTGTGGGCCTCACTTTCCCCAACCGAAAGTTGAAGAAATTGCAGAAAATGCCACGTAGGACCTCTTCCCTCCCAGAGTCTTGGGCTTTCCTCCTTTCCTCTCCTGCTCCCTTAACCCATGTTGGGCTGTTTAGAAATTCTCTGGCAGGGAAGAGAGTGAGGCCGCCTCACCTTCAGGATGACCACCAGCAGGCCTGCGCTCACCAGCAGAGGGACGAGGCTACTGATGAACCAGCTAAACCAGAGGATGCCGTTGTCCAGGCCCATGATACGCATGGTCTCCTTCAGCCGCGCCTCCTTCTCGTACACGATGCCCTTGATGATCATTGCCACAGAGTAGATCCAGGCCAGTGTCATGAAAAGTGGCATTAAGCGGCTCATCACCCGCAGAAAGCTGAGGCCCCAAGGAAGGGCGGGGGAGAATGAAAGACACGTGTGGGCCAGAGTCATGGCCACAGCCTCTGAGTCTGGACACCAGAGGAAGCCCCACATCTGGACCACAGAGGGGCAGGCCCTGGGACTCCGAAACTCACAGGTCGTGGAATGCTTTGTGAGCAGTGTGATGCAGTGATAAAACCTAGGCTGACAAATGTCATCAAGCAACATTCCTTCAGAGGCTTGTTTTAGTTACTAGGTAACTATGTCATTGAGTTTTAAAAAGGTGGATTATTTTAAAGTGCTGGAAGCCAAAACAAGAAAACCAACTCTTTTCATCATAGAAGTTCAACACCTCCAAGGTCATCTCGCTATCAACTTGTGTAACTTGTATCACAGTGCAGAAATACACTGCAGGCAGCTCTTGCCAGTCGTATTTCAGATTCCAAACTAGAATAGGAAATGCAGACCTGCAAAGTAAAAGGGATCCAGATTTTGGACCCTGAAACTTGAGGTTCTAGTCCCAGCTTTCCTCTGAAAGCACTTACTATGTAACAACAGGCAAAGGTTCTTAATGCCCCTTAACTTTCATGCCCTCATCTTCAGATATCCTTTCTAGAGTAACCCTTGACTTAGGGTCTTTGGAAAAGTCTTGATGTGGAAAATTCTAGCTATTTTTGAGGGTGAAAACCAGGATAACTCTGACAACCTGGAAAAACTAGAGATGGCCATATGAGGAAACAGGCTGTTCAGTGCAAGAGAGCAAACACATGCTTCTTCCGTGCCCTGATATCTACACACACACTCCCTACCACCACCACCATCAATAGATAATCAGAGAACTCTGGAATTGGAAGAGACATTTTGTATTTCAGATGTCTGCAATAACTGCACCTCTGCCTGCCCTATCTTTTAAGAAATGATTACAATGACATCCAAAGCCATAATTCCTACAATGAGAACTTGGCGGCCTAGCGACTAAGCACTAAAAGATTATTTTAAAAGTCGAATACAGTGAAGTTTTGCTCAATTTTGTTTGGATCATGCCATAATGTAGCTTACCATTAAGGGGAAAGAAGTGAGCCAATGTACACGAAGGCTGCTTTGAGGAGTCCAGCCTGCTGTTTCTGGGTTTGGGGGTAGGTGCGCCCACATGCTTGCACATATTTGTCTTAACACATTTGAAAGTCACAGACTGTGCAAATTTTCACCAAAAGGGTAGAAATGTAAAAAACAAAAGTGGTGGTAACTGGACAAGAAGGGAGGACAACTAGTGTGTGCACATGTATGTCTGTCTGTGACCAGGGCTGAAACCACTGACACCCAAATCTGATGATGTATTTCCAAATCATTCTCACACATGTACCCACCCACACACACTTTCCACCTAGCACCGTGTTAGGTGGTTAAATAAAGAGGGTGGCCGGTGGGTGACTCACATGTCATCGACGTAACAGGGGTAGGGCATCTGCTGCACGTAGACTCCGGTTTTCTTCTCGGCACCCGTCAGCACCCTGATGATCGCCTGCTCCACCACGTCCTGCAGGTAAGCGAAGCCGCCCCAGACATACCGCATATCCTCAAAGGGGTCAGCCCGAGGACCAGGGTCCCAGTACCTAAACACAAACCACAGGTGGTCCAACATTCCTTTAGAACATACCAGAAAAAAATCCAATCCCCCACAACCCCACCACCCTAACCCAGCCCCTATTTTTATGTTTCTTTCTAGTCTCAAGAGGCATATAATCAGAATGAACACACTATCTGGTTTTTTTTTTAACCTTCCATCAGCTAACATTACATCAAGTGGATGTACCAAAATTTGCTTAATGATCTCCTTTTTATTGGCTGTTTGCTCTTTTTCATAAATATGAAGGTCACTACTACAGAGAACCTAACGTCTTTTTTTTTCTTCTTTTCTTTTTTCTGTTGACTTTCTTCCTTGAGATTAATTCACTGGAATAGAAATGCTGAATGAAGACATAGTGAAATTTTTAAGCCCTTTGAAATAATACCTTTCAGCAAGGAATGTGTCAATTTCACCAACCTTATGCCACCAATTTGATTTTTTTTTTTTTAATTTCTACCAAGTTACTAGTTAAAATGAAGTACTCCAGTCATGACAGCTGCTCCTGACATTACCAAGCCCAAGCAGGTATGCTGGGATCATGCTTACCCATCCTTGATTTTATTTGTCCTCTCCACATTGTCAATGTCCATTCGGATCTTGTAGTTGACATGATGGGGCAGCTCAATGCTGTCTGGAGTAATTCCAGTGAACACGATCCCAGCCCAGAACTTCCTCTCATCCAGGAGCTCCATGGACTTGTTGATGAGCCGGACCTCTGTGGGAATGGGCTCCAGCTTGTTCAGGTTGACACACTGGTGGGAGAACAGCCTTCATGAGAACACAGGTGGCCAGGACAATAGACAGTGACCAAAACAGGTCCCACCCCACAGAACAACAACTGACTGCAGGGTTATTTATCCTCACTCTCTAAAGCAGCCTTCAAATCTTTAACCAAGTATGGATCACTGTGGTTTTTAGCTGAAATTTAAGAGAAATCCTAGGCACATTTAGAGATAAGTTACCTGTACTGATCTTTGTGGAGGGAAAATGGTTGAAACAATGATCATGTCATATTTTCCTGTTTTCTTAGCAATTTTGAGTCACAGCAACTAACCAACCAACCAACCAGACCAAAAAGGCTTTGATTTGTCCCTACTAAGTGATATAATGTTTAAGACTAAATTTTAAAAATTTAATCTGTCCTGAATTAAATTTTAACTAAGTTTCATGAATAATGCCTTTTTTTTAGAAGGAATGCTTTGGTGCCCTTAGGGCCTGGGATATGATAACACAGGAAAACCTAGAAGACAATGTCTAGAAACACTCTTGGGTCCATACTGAATAGAGCTAGAGTTAGGTTGGTTTATTTACTTGTTCAACCATTCAACTGACATTTATTGAGCACCTTATGTAACACCTTATGTGTTAAGCTTGAGGGATACTGGTGTGAATGAGATTACATGTTATTTCTGAATGTTCCTCCTACCTGAACCTTACTGCAGCATCTCAGAGAAAGAAGCCGCAAGCCTTTTTTAAATACTCTACACAACAGATCCTCACCTCCATGAAGCGTGATACAGTCTGGATTGCCTGGTCGGTCTCATTTAAAGCCTCTCTCCAGGTGTACACAGAGCCATTAGCAGACTGGACATCCTCTGGGTACTTGGCCAAAAATGCCACAATATCTTGGGCTGTCCAATCTAAGCCTTCCAACTGCTGTTCCCAAAAGCGGTCATTGCCTCTGCTCTCCAACAGCATCTGCCATTCCAGCGAGAAAGTACAAGCAATAAGTATCAATACATCTTGAAAAGAACTACATAAAGAACAATATTATTGCAGCCCAATTCATAATTGCCAGATTATGGAAGAAGCCCAAGTGCCCATCAATCCACGAATGGATCAACAAACTGTGGTATATGTACACCATGGAATACCATGCAGCCCTAAAGAAAAACAAAGACTTTACCTCCTTCATGTTTACATGGATGGAACTGGAAAATGTTCTTCTTAGCAAAGTATCACAGGAATGGAAGAAAAAGTATCCAATGTACACAGCCCTTTTATGAAACTAATTTATAGCTCTCAAATGAAAGATACAACTTAATTCTAGCCCAACAATATGGGGAGGGGGTGGGGAAGGGGAGGGGAGAAGGGCGGCTGGGTGGTGGGAGGGTGACTGGAAAGATCACCTATATATCTGTCTAATAAGGGTACAAGTGAACTTTTCTAGAACTAGAATATAAATGTTTTGACACAATGACTAAGCAAATGACATGAAACCAGCTTGATGAAAGTATTTCAAATTGTATATGAAAACACTGCACTGTACCCCAATGTTTGCATTAATGTATACAGCTATCATTTAATAAAAAAAAAAGAACAGAACACTTTCACATCTATTGCCTCTGTGCTTTATCTTCATATTAAATTGTGAGGTAGATAAGCACCCCCACTTTACAGGTGAAAAGACTGATGGTTGGAATAAAAAAAGAATGTGATTTTAATCAAGGCTGGGTCATAATGCTAAAAAGCATGGAGCTATAGAGCTGAAACACAAAGACTAGTCTGAATTCAGAGTCCACAGGCTTTCCACTATACCAAATAGCTCCCTTTACACTATTAACTATAATAACAAGAATAATATTAATATTCACTCTGTATAGTTACTGTGTTGAATGATTGATATGGCTTATCTCACACAACTCCATAAAGGGGATACCTTTTATTATTTCCCACTTCACAGAAGGGAAAACTGAAGTTCAGAGAAGTCAAGTCTCTAATACCAGGTCACACAGATAATAAGTAGCAAAGCCAAGATACAAAGTATAGGGCCTCTGATTCTCAAGTACCTCCCCACTACATTTCGCCACCTTCCTCTTTTAAGACCCCATCCAAAGATCCCACAGAAAACCTCTATCTCTAGACTGAACTGACTTTTACTGCCTGTTTTTAGAAAATAATGCTACTGGTTCACCAACTAAAGTACAATCTTTTCCAACTGCAGGATATATGGGCCATGATGCAAAGATGGCTTATTTTTCCATTTCTTTTTTTTTTTTTTCTGAGACAGAGTCTCACTATGTTGCCCTCAGTAGAGTGCTGTGGAGTCACAGCTAACAGCAACCTCAAACTCTTGGGCTCAAGCAATTCGTTTGCCTCAGCCTCTCAAGTAGCTGGGACTACAGGCAATCAATGCCCGCCTATTTTTTTGCTGTGGCTGTCATTGTTTAGCAGGCCCAGGGTAGGTTCAAACCCACCAGCCCCGGTGTATGTGTCCAGTGCTCTGACCACTAAGCTACGGGCACTGAGCCTATTTTTCCATTTCTTATTCCCTTACCAGGCCTGCATAGATGTGTTACCACAAAGGCGGCTGCTGCAAACTCAGCAACAGGGGAAGCATCTGTAATTCCTGTCGCAGCTTCGAGAGGAAAGAGGAAGCCCTGGCTCTACTGAACTAGAATCTCCAAGGGTCTGAAAACTGCTACTTTTTAAAATCAGCTTTATTTTTATTATTATAAGCTTCTTCCCCCTCGTGGTTTCATCTTATTATTTTAATGGGAGCATAATGACTTTACAGAGTGTTTATAGTATAATTTCATTAATAATTCCCATACTGCAGAGCTTTTTGTCTATTTCTAATTTCTCACAATAACAATTAATATAGTAATGATATTGTCTCTCATATGGTGCCTTCTTTACAATTATTTCTGTAGGATACATCCCAGGGGGTATGTAGAATTGAGGTACACAGGATGGTACATTTTTTATGGCTCTTGAAATTTACATCCTAAATTGCTTTCTAGTAGGGAATAACAATTTATACCATCATCAGTAAGATAGATCTGTATTTTTTGTTAACATAACAGGTACAAAAATCGTACCCCCCAAAACTTCAGAGATGTAAGGGTTAGCAATTCTGAAACCACTTTACTTGAGAATTGGAACTGAACAAATAAGAGCACAATAAAGAGATGTGACATCTGAGGTGAGGCCTTCCCTGCCCAGTATGGCTTCTGAGCAGTATGGCCGACAACAGTAAGAGCAAAGCAATGTGCCCAGGAGATCACTGGTCACACAGACACTCTTGGATACTGGAGTGGACCGAGAGACCTAAAATTGCCCTTGGGAAGCCAAGAGCAGCTCAGGAAAGAGAGCAAACTGATGTCAGTAGGTTCCATGACTTCACAGAGACAGGTGCCTCTGGATCAGTGGTATGAAGCAATGGGTACAGACAGAGCCAGAGGCAGCAGAAAGGTAAGAGCCACTCACACAAGCATCACCTTGTGTACCAGATGCCAGGCTGCACAGGATGAGAAGCCCACACCATGTATACAGAGTTAAATAAACAATCCTTAAGAAAGGGAAGAAAGTCATTTTCTTCCATTCATAGGCTGACTCTCCCCTAGTCTGTGTCTCCAGCCTGACCAATATCCTGCACTGTGGACCCCAGTAGCCATCAGCCTCCTGGATATCCCCACCACCCACTCAGCTAGAAATCAAGAAACATCCTGGTGCCTCCCCCTCTCTCACTGCCTCACTACCAACCAGTTACCAGGCCTCGCCTCTTGCATTATGCCTGGGATCTCCTCCTCCCTGGTCTCTGCCTTCAGCCATCCTCCTTCCCTTTTCAATTCATCTGTCCTTTCCGAATAATGTATCTACTTGTCTTCGAAGCATCCAAGGCAAACTCTCAATTTAAATGCAGGGAAGCATCTATTTGTCCACAAATCAAAACTTACTGCTAGGGCTCCTCATCATCCTCCAAGACCCAGACAAGAAGAAAAAGTCCAGCTAGAAGAAATATGGATTCCAAGGAAATGGCCAGAAGGAAAGCCTGAGAATACACTCAGGTCTTCAGTGCTGTGTGGCTACATCACGTGAGGCCCTGATGGAGGAGGGGCTGGAGTCCAACAGAGACCCACACTTGAGGGGCATGAGCTATTACTGTTAGTCAGTCAATCCATACAAATTACTGCCCATGCTTTTCTCACCGAGAGTCTTATTCTCACCAAATCTCTTGTTTTTAAAGGCCCCAACTAGAGAATTCTTATCTATTACTGAACTAGTGCAGCAAAGGAAACCAGCTTCTCTAGCCTGGGAGTCTTTTCCTTAGCAACCTGCCTCCCATTGGTCAGGGAATAGTCCTGAAGTTTAGAAGAGTTTTCTCCATGTTACGGCCTCTAATGCCTAGCCACCCATAGAATCAATGAGGTTCAAGATGAGAAACTGGCCAAATTCTCTCCTACTTCTTCATAGCAGTGGAATCAAAAAGAAGAGGCCTCCCTTATCACAGTAATAGGAAGCAGACTAATGATCCTCTGACTCAGCCCAAAGCAGAAAAGATGTGATTAAAACACACTCAGGCTCAGGCAGAGGAGACATTCTGTTCTTGCTCAGACAACTCCGCATTTGAATCCAATTGTCTTCCAAGCACTTATCCCTTTCAAGTGGCCCAGAAGCACAGCAGCTTGGCACTCAGGCAGTTCCTCGGGGGTGAGTATGTCAGACCACACCTCTGCTCCCACACCTCCTTCAAGGCCTACCAAGACATAGGGAGGCTGAAGATGACGCTGTGGTTGGCTCAGAGGCTGGAACCAGAAATGAAAATAGGGTCCTGCAATCACCTAACTCTATTTCCAAACACCAGCGCTCCCTAGAAAATATCATAGAAAACTGATATTTGACCTCCTAACAGACATCGATGCTAATATGCACACTGTCATCTACACTCCATGGCCAGAGAATGGGTAGCCCTGGGTAAACTCAATGGATTCTCAACTCAGTCACTCCTGGGAAACTCACCACATGGTCACTCAAGCAGGCACATGGTAATTCGAAAGACACTCACCCGGACAAGATCCATTTCTTGGCTCTTCTCCATGAAGGTCCAGATCTTGGGGCTGAGTTCTGCCCACATGCCTTCCAGATCATGAAACACAGACAGTTCCTGGAAGGTCTTGTTCACCTGGAGTCAGGTGGGGAGCAGGGGCCACAGAAAAATGAAAGAGAGGCAGAGATGATGAGCCCCCTGAAAATATCCCATCACAGCAACTCTGTACCAGTCCTCCTCCATCCCCCAAGAAATGTTTGCATGTAGCTATGATTCAAATACCCAGGGCTGGGGCAGTGGCCCTAAACTGTTAGCTCTTGTCTGGACCAGACTTGAGGTTTTCACCTGTTAGGAGTCCCAGAAAATCCATGAATATACTCAGCATACTTAATCAGAAGCCACTGTTACTTTTATGCCTCTAAATTTAGAAAGACTCTGCCAGGGAGTCTTGGGCTGGGACAGCTTACCTCAGCCATAACCTGCCTTGTAGCTGGAGTGTCAGGTGTATATAGGATCTTCCCAAGAAGTAGAGGCTTAAGAGCTTTCCAAATAATGCGGGAAAGAGGACTAGACTCCAAATTCTTCATCATATCATTGCAGTAAGGAGCTACAAAGAAGATGGCAGGCAAGTTTTCATATGCATGGTCATGTACTTGTAGAAACTTACAAAGGTTTTAGAGCATTCAGTCAGTCTGGATTAAAATCCTAGCTATTCCACTGAGCTGTTATATAACAAATAACTTAACTTGTTTGAGGCTGAGTTTACTAAAAGTAAAGTTCATAACATCTCTTTGGCAAAGATATGGAGAGAATTAATTGAGATGTTATCTACAAAGCCTCCAGAATGATGCTTGATAACTAATCAGATTATACTAGGACTGCTGATGGATTACTCACAACTTAGATGCTATAGAAACATGTTTTTACCATGCACAAACTCTCATAATTCCAGATTCATACTCTCACACCAGCCTCACTACTCTGTTTTCACTGAAAATAGGACTTTTGAGGGACAAACAGAAGGCTAAGTTCAGACTTTAGTTTTCAAAGAAAAACCAAAATTTTCTCTTTCACTAATAGATCTCATCACTAGTATATCTATATTTAATAAAACCCAAATAACAGACAAATGTGCTTGATTATCCAGAAAGGATTCTTGATTTTTTTTTTATTTCATGTAGCACTTTTCAAGCTTTTTTAGATACCAAGTATCCTTTATATGCTGCAAAGATAACAGGATTTCTTAAAAGGCCATTTGCTCACAACTATCTGTCATGCAATGAAGGCTCCTTTAGATCAACTTGGAAAGGTGGTGGGGAGGGCATGGCCTTTCATAAAGTTGCCTGCAATACCACCCTCTTCAGGCTTATAAGGCAACGTGCAAATGTCTGGAGTGCCTTACTCCAGAGAAGAATTAAAGGTTCTTGTGTTACAGTAATGCATAAAAAGCTGCCTCACTCTGTGTCTGAAAGACACACCGGAAGTTGGAAATGGAGAAAGTGTCACCTGCATCATGTTTTCAAAGAAAGGGATGCCATTGTCTAAAACTGTAACACTGGATCTGTGCTGCCACCAGGCACAAGACACACATACCTGCAAAACTGCTTAAGCTTGGGGAGCGGATCTAGAGTTACCAGTTTCTGTAACACTGCCTGACAGCTAAGAAGGAGAAACAAACAGCAGATCAAATGCCCCAGTGTGAGGGGAGTGTGGCAGTGCACACGTGCCACCATTAACAGGTAATTCAGACGTGGTGTGGCTTACCAAACGGAATCCTGGCTCTTGTGGATTAACTATGACGTGGCTCTGACAAGCCGTTTAACCTTTCTGAGCCTATGAAATGTGGGGTTATAGAATCTTCCCTGGAGGGTTATCACGAGGGTGAATGGAGATGACTTAAATAGGATGCAAAGTACATAGGAAATTTTACCTAAATGGTAGCTGCTGTTACTATTGTTACTGTTATTTACGTTTTTATTATAAAGTTTACATCAATGGTAATAATAATAAAAAGATTAGCATCTCAACCTTTTTAAAAATATTTTTTCTAGCTCTGAGTTGTAAGTGAGAAATAAAAACTGTATATATTTAAGGCATACCATGTGATGCTTTGATGTATGTATATATATTGTCAAATGATCACCACAGCCAAGCTATTAATATATCCATTACCTCATGGTTGCTTTGCTTTTTTTTTTTTTTTGCAGGGAGAACACTTAAGACTTACTCTTAGCAAATTTCAAGTGCACTATACAGTATTACCCACTGCAGTCACCACATGGTACGTTAGCTCTCCCCAACTCACTCATCACGCAGAACTGTCACTTGGTACTTTTTGCCCAACATCTCCCCCACTGCTCCCCCAGCCCCCGGCAACCCCCATCCCTACCCCCTGCTGAGTTTGATGGGTTTTTTTTAGATTGCACATGAAAGTGACATCATGCAGGATTCATCCTTCAGCCAGTATCTCATCCTTGATTAACTGAAAGCCACCTTCTTCCCTCCTCCAGAAAACCAGGAGAGTGGCTTTCAATCATGAATTCAGTGTGCACCTGGGATGTGCCAGGCCACAGCAAAGAACTGGGGGTAGCTAACTGATTGAAAAAGCTTCTCTGCTCCAGGAGATCATGGGCTAGTGGGCAAAGAGGCAAGTAGATGTCTAACAATACCACCCAGGGAGCAGATAAACAGCAGAGTCCAGAACAAAGGCAGGAACGGGGAGGGGCCTCGGTCAGCACACTCACTAGTAGTGTTGTCATAGAACGTGTCAGCATCTTCCTCGGTGCCATTGCCTCCAAAGAGGGCCTTGTAGTTGTTGTCTTCATACCAGTTGAGGGACTTGATCTTCAGTCCCCCGCCCTCGGGATGGCCACAGACAATGCGAGACACGGCCTGGTATATCTGGGTGGAGGAGCTGGAGCCATTCACATTGGTCAGAAACATCACCTCCTGCCGCATGTCACTCCAGCTCCGCATGCTGAACAGCTGGCGTCGGGACCGGAGGAAAGGAGAGAGGCACGGAAAGGAGGCAGGGCGGGCAGAGCGAGGGTTGGGAATAGAAAAGACAGAGAAACATCTTATTCTCTTGACCTCTCAAAGCCTAGAACTTACTATCTTGTCTGATGTCATCTCCAAGTCTTGCAACAACAGGCTTGCCAGAACCTGCCTGTCCCTTTGGTGGTCCAGGGATGACCAGCATCAGCATCATCTGAGAGACTGTTTGAAATGCAGATTCTGAGACCCCTGTGCAGACCTATGCCCATTAAAATTTGAGAAGCACAGCCTAGAAATCAGCAGAGCTCCTCGGGTGAGCTTTGTTTTATTGGGATTCTCTTCTGGTTTGTAGAAGAGAATGCTACATCTGACTGCTCCCACCCTGACCACGGGCTCATTTCTAAAACTCAAACGTCAGTGAGGAAACTGAGGGGCCTTCTCCACCTTGGGAACAAAGGTTCTGTACGTGATGTTCCCTATCCTGGCCTCACAAAAGTATCAAGCAGTGGGAAAAGCATAAGGTGAGAGACCCAAGTTTGAATCCCAGCTATGTCCCTCACTAGCTTATAGCCTTAGAAAAGTCACATCGCGTCTCTGAGTGCCCAACTTCTCATCGAGATGATGATGATGCGTGGCGAGGAGTAAACTATTCTCTGCATGAGAGGGTGTCCTGCACGGAACAGCCCAGCGGCGTGAGTCCGAAGCCCCAGGCAGCCAGGGCTGTCTGTGATTTACACTCAACCACCATCCATGATCCCAATGGCGCTCTGTCTCACATACAAATGTACCCTGGCACCTTGTGGGGTTCTTAGCTCAACCACTATTATTAAACATTTATAGAACACTTTGTATTTACATAAGTTTTACAATAAAACATTAATAAACCCAGTTCCTTGAATGTCACTGCATGTTTTCATCACCCAGGAAGACTGAGCCATGAAAGCCTGTGGGGATGGGCGGCAGGGCCCTGTCCCCACCCTGGAGAATGGCATGTGCCCAGCTTTCTCCTGCACAGCCTACTGGTTCTTGTGAATAACATGGTCCTGGACACTCTAGGTCCTAGCCCTTGCCTTATGGGAACAAGGCTCTCCAGATGGGAACAAGGCTCTCCAGATGGGAACAAGGCCAGGGAGGGAGCATGTAGCAACTACATAAGAACACAACTGGGTGGACTGATTTTCCTTACTTTATCTTTTCATTACCTGCCTGGGGTTTATGGAAAGGGGACAGGTAGCCAGACCACATTCCTTGTTGTTGGTTAATGTAACAGCCCCAGAGACTTTTAAACAAAAGTGGGTGAAGACCACTCACTTCTTTCCCACAGCCTGCCTCTCTCCCATCCCACCACACCACAATTAAAAAAATAAACTTCTACCCACATAAAGACAGCCGATTCTTGGACAGAGGTACCATATATTACTGAGTTGTTCTAAACCAGGGGTCCTCAAACTTTTTAAACAGGGGACTAGTTCACTGTCCCTCAGACCGTTGGAGGGCTGGACTGCTAAGCAGGGCAGGCAGCAGTGGTAAAAACACCTGGTAGGCTGGATAAATGTCCTAGGCGGGCTGCATGTGGCCCGCGGGCTGTAGTTTGAGGACACCTGTTCTAAACTGTTGGTTTTTCCCAAACCCATCTTAGGGACAAACTCCTACTCATTCTCCTACAGCTCAGCTCATGCTCCAGCCTTCATTTCAACACACTCTCTGACTCCAGGGGAGGGGTAGCCCTTAGTCCTCTGGCCCATGGATAGTGGTGGTGTTTGACACCTGCTGAGTGAATGAAGGCGTAACTAAGTTACTGATTTCTCAGTCCACTGCAATGGTCTCAGTCCTCCCTTGTCCGCCCTTTAGTCTCATCTCAATCTAACAACCAGAGTAAATAGTCTATAAACTCTAGGTCACTCCAGATGCCCCACTGGCTTCCCATCTCACCCAGCAGAAACCCAGGTCTGCATGGTGCTCACCTCACCTCATCTCTGGGCCCGCCTCTCATTTGCCCACTTTCTTCTGGTCACACCAACCTCCTCCCTGGTCTTAAAACACTCCCTTTATACATGCCCACTGACAGTGTCTTGGCATCTGCTGTTCCTCCTGCTTGGGGTGCCCTCCCTCTCCACGGGCACACTTTCACCTCCTGCAGGTTCATCTGCTGCCTGAGCAGAGAGGGCTTCCCTAATCACCCCCTTTAAAACAGCAACTTATCTCACTAGAGCCCCCTTCCCCAGCATTTTCTTCATTGTACAAATCCCTGTTGCCCCCTTATACACAGACCTGTTTTTTTCTGTACCTCATCCCACAAAAGCCCCATAGAAACAGGGACATTAGTGTACTCAGTGCTGAGTCCCCAACATCTAGCCATGACAAGGACCTGGGTGGTACTGGCCAGATTTCTAATATGTTCCTCCCTAGCCTGCCCTCCCAATTGTCTGGGACACCTCAAGTCCCCATTCCCACTGAATTTCTAGGCCCTTTTAATACTTTTTTTTTTCTCTTTGAAAGATCTCTTCCCATCCCAGTTACTATTAGAGTTGATCTCAAGTCAAGAACACAGGCCCTGGAGCCCAACAGTCCTGGGTTCAAATCCCAGGTTTGTCAGTTACTCTGTGAGTAACCATGGGCAAGTTAACAAACTTCACTGAGCCCTCCTGTCATCTATAAAATGAACACAATAAGACCCACCCCAGGTTTGTCGTGTGGGTTACATAGGAAACTGGGGTGAAGCTGCCTGAACCAAAGTAGCCCTCAGAAAATGGTGGCTGTGGCTGGGTGCCCATAGCTAAGTGGTTAGGGCATCAGCCACAGGCTCTGGGGCTGGTGAGTTCGAACCTAGCCTGGGTCTGTTAAACAAACAAACAAAAAAAGCCAGGCATTGCGGTGGGTGCTTATAATCCCAGCTATGTGGGAGGCTAAGGCAAGAGAATCATTTAAGCCCAGGAGATTGAGGTTGCTATGAGCTATGATGTCACAGTACTCTACAAAGGATGACAAAGTGAGACTCTGTCTCAAAAAAAAAAAAAAAAGAAAACCGTGGCTCCCTTGCTCTTTTCCTTTCAAGGATTGTGATTTGGTCAAAACAATCAACTTTCTGGCTTGGCGCCTGTAGCTCAGTGGTTACAACGCCAGCCACATACATCAGAGCTGATGGGTTGAGCCCAGCCCGAGGTCTGCTAAACAACAATGACAACTGCAACAAAAAAATAGCTTGGTGTTGTGGTGGGTGACCATAGTCCCAACTACTTGAGAGGCTGAGACAAGAGAATCACTTGAGCCCAAGAGTTTGAGGTTGCTGTGACCTGTAATGCCACACTAGGGTGACATAGTGAGACTCTGTCTCAAAAGAAAAACAAAAAACAACTTTCTTTCCAAATACCAAACAAACAAGTACATTTATTTGTCTTCTTCCATATGTCTCACAGAAATAGCGAGTTAGGCCATGAGTGACCTATGATCAAAGGAACTTGAAGGTGTTCTGCAGAGAGAAGTGGGTGGTCCTTGCTTAACCTGGGACCAGGAGCAGGCAGGGTACAAGGAGCAGCTCCCAAGAAAAATGTATACTGTTCAGTCGGAAAGTTTCTACCACATCAGCCAAGGGAACATCATATGCTTCTAATTATTGTTTTACCCCAGACAAAAGGCAGGACCAGTGATATAAGAGAAAACAGCTGTCACCAAATCCTGAGTGAAGAGGCAGCCTCCACATGATAGTCACTGCTTTGCTTTCTCTAAGGCCAGAAATGACCAACAGGGTCGGGAGGACACTGCCACCACAATGCAGGGCATGGTACCGTCAGCTCACAGAGCCCTAAAATACAGCTCTGGACAGTTCTCTCTCTTTCCTCTTGGAAGAGCCTCCAGCTTCTCCAGCGACCTTCACAACCAGAGCAACACAGGACAGGCTGGAAGAGGCCTCCTCCTCCAAAAAGGGGCCCTGGAAGTCAAGCCCTTTCAGTCAGAGACATACCAACAGAATCAAAAGGAAATAAAACAGGACAGAAAGAACTCAAGTGGCAACAGTGCTAAAGCTCGGTGTTTCCTATATTTTCCAAACGTTCTGCCTTTTCCACAATGAACATGTAACACTTTTATTGTCAGAAAACAAAGCAAATTTTGATATTAAAATAATGATGTAAGCATGAAAAAATGGCCGACTTAGATATAAGCACACACCAAAAAAAAAGTTAGAGAAGCAGCTAAGTATAAGGTTGGATCAAGTCTGAGAAAATTTCGCCACAAATTATTACTTTCCAATGTCCTATACATTAAGGCATGCATTGCTTTTGACCACTGCCCCCTGGCTCAGCTCCTTAAGCATAAGGGCTCCAGAAGGTTCTTTCCTTCCAAGCCTAATTCAAAACAAGGCTGGGAGTCAGAGAGGCCCAGCACACTCTCTGGCTGAGTCAGAGGAAACATTAACTCCTTTTGCAAGTACCTGCAGGCCCTCAGATCTCCTAAAGGACAAAGTTTACACTGATACATTTGTCAACATGTGGATCTAAAAAGTAAACTCAACTGAATGTTCAAAAGAGAGACCATGCTCCCAAGGTTGTTCCAACCTCAGAGACCAGATATTTACACAGGAAAGAGTTGAATTAGGGGTACCATGTTATTCCCGTTAGTTGGCAACCACGTGTTTTGGGGAGAAATGATTATCTCAACTTGTTACTGAAGAAGAAATATGAAGAAGTTTCTGCTCAGACAAAGCAGTGCATTAGGGGTGAAAGAGAGAATTCTACTTTATACAAATACAGTAGAACCTCTATAGTTGAACCACCTCCCTACACTGATCACCTCCTTAAGTTGACCTAACTCTCAAAAGACCAGACACGCACTACATGTACATATCAGTACAGTAGCCCCAGCTCCTTACGTTGACCACCTCCATGTGTTAACCAGTTTGTTACAGCCCCTTGGGTGGTTAACTTATAGAGGTTCTACTGTATACAACAGATTACTGTAAATTATCGTCACCCAACCATAATTTAGCACTAGGTCTTATTTTTTCTCTCAACAGTATTTGTACCCATTAATCCACTTCTCTTCCTTCCCCATTCCTTTCTTCCTTCTCAGCCTCTGGTAACCACCAACCTCCTCTCTACCTTCCCAAGACCCACTTTTTTAGCTCCCACATACAAGAGAACATGCAACGCTTGTCTTTTTTGTCCTTGGTTTGATTCACTTAGCATAGTGACCTCATGTTCTATCCATGTGGCTGCAAATGACAAGATTTCATTCCCTGTTTTGGCTGAATAATATCCCCTTGTGTTTAAATGCCACATATTCTTTATAAAACGAATCATTTTTTAAATCACTTATGTTTCTACTAAAATTGTTATTATATCTCATATAATATTCGAATCAAAAGGATCCTCTTGCTAAACTCAGATATATTTTTTATTTTTTAGAGACAGAGTCTCACTTTGTTGCCCTCTGTAGAGCACTGTGGCATCACAGCTCACAGCAACCTCAAGCTCTTAGGCTTAGGGGATTCTCTTGCCTCAGCTTCCCAAGTAGCTGGGACTACAGGCACCCGCCACAAGGCCCGGCTATTTTTTTTGTTTGCAGTTTGGCCGGGGCTGGGTTTGAACCCACCACCCTCAGTATATGGGGCCAGCGCCCTACTCACTGAGCCACAGGCACCGCTCAGAATTTATTTATTTTTTTATTTCAGATCGATATGAGGGTACAAATGATTAGGTTACAATGTTTGCATTTTTTAGACAAAGTCCCTGTGGTAGTTGTGTCCCATACCCAGGTGTGCCATATGCCCTTACACTGTGCCCATTAGGTGGGAGCACACCAATGTCCCTCCTTCCTCCTCTCTGTCCTCCCCCCAAACTTAGAATTTAAAAAAGCGATGCAACAGATATTCCATTTTCTGCCGCTAGAAATATACAACTTACCTCCTGGGCCAAAGCCCCGAGACTGTCCAGCAGAACTTTTGTGGCTTCATTCAGCTCCTTGCTCAGGATGGGAGATGTAGAGTTTAGTCCTATCTGGAATGAGAAAAAATACTTAATTTTTTAGTTCAGACCTAAACCTAAAATCTCTATTGAAAACAAACAAGTTAATTAAAACTGTTCACAAGCGTAAGTTGAAACAAAACAAGAAACCAGCTCCTAATTAAAATAAAAGACACAACCATTATTCTAACTGGAAGTTTGCATTTTGCTATCTTCAGACAAGAATTACTATTAATAATTCTTTGAAGAATGGTTGATGAATACATGCTTAAAACTAGTTAATATGCAATAGATAAAAAATACCTCATTTGGAAGAGAGGGAAATAGATGTGTCCTATACAACCCTGACCATAAATTTCTAAATCTGTCAATGATGATTCTGCAAGACAGATAATCTGGAAACGGCCTTGAGAAACAAGTTAGTGATGGCTCTTGAGAAAGGAAGAAAATGTAAGGCTTAAAGCTGTCAAAATCAGGAAAAGAAGGAATTCTTTCCCTCTGTTCAAGTCAGCACTGTTTCTAACACTGGAAATTTAATGTAGAATACTTACTTTTAAGTCTAGATTTAGTCAAATATTTATATACTATCCATAGTTGGTTGATGTTATAAGCCCTCTAACTGCATCGCAAATATAAAAAAAAAAAATTAGGCCCAGGGAAAAAATAAATTAGAGCAGAAAGCATAAGCTAACGAAGAAAAAGAACAAGGATGCACTCCTGCTCTCAAATTTGGTTCTAAGGTTTTATGCTTCCAAAGAGAAAAAGACACCGGGTCAGGTTCATCATTCTTATTTGTCAAATAGGGGGGGAAAGTCTTTAGGGAAAAATCTTTCCTTATTTCTATGGGCATTGTTTCACTGAATATCACATCAGACATCTCTGAAATATAGAGAATATTTATCATACCAGAGATTGCTATGAAATTATAATGTAGACTACACAGAGAATGGCTGGAAGGGGATGGGACTCTCTATCTCTGGGAAACGGCAGCCTGGGATAGTTCCTTTTAGCAAAGATCTCCAAATGAAGAAGATTCAGAATCATCATGATCATCATAACATCCCAGCATTATCCTAAATGTGCATTTCTGAGAAAATCTGCTTGAAGGTTCTATGAGAGAATTTGCCCAGCCTGATGCATCAGCTCTTCTGGAATGGCTTTTATTCATCAGAGTCCCAGTATTCTCACACTCAGTCTTCAGAAGGACCTACATGGTCCCGCGTGATGCTGTACTCAGGTAGGTCTCTACCACATAACATGCAGATTGTGTTAACAATTGTTCCTTCTATGGAGAGCAATTCATAAGCAAAAACAGATGGGGTATGTCTTGTCTTTGTTTTCTCTCTTTGGGTTCACTTTTTAAAAAAATTTTTTTGAAGCAAGACAAAGTGTTTCTCATTGTCACCCAGGCTAGAATTTAGTGGCATCATCATAGCTCACTTCAGCCTTGAATACCTGGGCTTAAGTGATTTCTCTGCCTCAGTATCCCTAGTAGCTAGAACTATAAGTGTGTACCACTACGCCTGGCTAATTTTTCTTATTTTTTATAGAGACAGAGGCCTCACTATTTGGCCAAAATTCAGGCTGGTGTGAAACTCTTGGCCTCAAGCTGTCCTCCCACCTCAGCCTCCCAATCTGCTGAGATTATAGGTGTGAGCCACCATGCCCAGCCTGAGTTCCCTAGAACAGTTACCATGCTAGAAGTCAAACACCCAGAGAGCCAGCAGAAAGGAAAACTGTTACAAACTGAGAAGTCGTCACTGAAAGCTACAAGGTAAAGTGCTTTTGTGTTTGGCACCAGGCCTACACTATGACAGATGTGCAGCATTATATGCCAAAAACAAAACAAACCAAGACAAACAAAAATAACAAATTAACGAATATTTTTAAAACTTAAAATGTGGTAGTCAGGTCGGTGCCTGTGGCTCAAAGGAGTAGGGCACTGGCCCCATATACCAGAGGTGGCGGGTTCAAACCCGGTCCCGGCCAAAAAAAAAAATGTGGTAGACAACCCATTTCTTTTATAAAATCTGAATGGAAATAGGATTTTTATGATTCCTGTTAATCACCCTCCCTCTTGATTCTCTGGCCATGGGGACCTGGGGTGACTACCCCAGGCAAATGACTCAAATTCCCCATGCCTCCATTCACTCAATCACACAGCAGAGTTTAAAAATCTGTCACACATCACAGAGTTTTCATGAACATTAAATTAGAGAACCCAAACACAGCCCCTTGCACAGTGCCTGACAAACCGGTAAAGCCCCACAATTGTCAACAATTTCATCTCCTGCCTTTTTCTTCCCTTCCCTAAAAGTTTACTGCCAAAACTGGAGGGCTTTTGTCTTGAAACAGGGCTTTTGGTTTTTTTCCAATTCTAAAAAAGAAAAACAAACTTCTTCCATTTCTTACTGAGGTCTCTAACCTTCCCTCCTGTTTTGCTCTCCTCCCTCTGCTGGGTAGAGAGCTAGAGTTATCATCCCACAGCACAGCAGCCATGCTGTAATGTCTTATTTCTAAAATTAAAAATACTCTTTATTGCAAGGTTAAGACATCCTCATCCTAATTCCAGAAGCCTTAAGATAAAACATCTTGCGTCCCCTTTAACTCATTTCTTTTACACAGTACTTGCCGAATACTAAAATCAGGATAATGCTAAGTGGATGTATATTATACATGTGTATACCATATTATAAATAGATACACTATATATAATATACAATACAAATATATATAATTATATATATAATATGTATGCCGTATAATATATATAATATAGCAAATACTATGTTATGTGTGTATGCATATATGTATAAAATACATATACATAGGTATCTTACACATATTAACTTGCCCTAAAGTTAAATTTAAATTGAAAAACTTGAAGAAATACTCATTATCTCTAACTAGGTGTATATTAGAGCTGTCATCATATAAGGTCTGACATTTAAGTTCTTAAACTTACCCTAGAAAAAGTACTTTGAAGGGAGGACTGGCATCAGTGCATAGCTTCCCAAGGGGAGTACTTCAAAGGTGACCATAGTGATATTCAGCAATGAGGTATATAGCACATTTTCTAAGAAGAGTTTGTGAACTTAATTGTCTGACCTTGTATACATATATAAGCACACACACACATATATATGCACATCTTTATCTTAACGTATATTCATGTGTACCTTCTATTTCTAGTAAGTGATATTGTTTATCCAAAATGAGTAGGTTTATTTAAAAAATAATTAACAATTATCAATTGTTAATTAAACAATTATTATTATTAGCAATTATTACAAATAATAACAAATAATAACAAATATAGCAAATAATAACAATTATTATTATTAACAATTGTTAATTAAACAATTAAAAAGATTAATTAACAATAGTACCTGCCGTGCTCAAATACAACCAAAATCATAGCAGAAAGTTATGAACAACCAGCCTTCACTCACACAGTGTGGTTTGGGGAGCTCCTGCATCAGAACCACCTGTGGTGCTTGTTAAATATGCAGGTTCTCCACCACCTGAGACCTACTGAGTCAGAAGCTAAAAGAGGGATCGCAGAATCCTCAGGGGATCCACTCGCACACTGAAGTTTGAGAGCAACTAAGTCCTGGCACTTGGACGATGTTCACACAGCCTCTCTTCCCAGTGCATCTAGCACAGAGTGGCTGTGCATTCCAGGCCTGATCCACACACGACCATCCTCACAGTGCATCTAGCACAGAGTGGCTGTGCATTCCAGGCCTGACCCAGGCACAACCATCCTCACAGTACATCTAGCACAGAGTGGCTGTGCATTCCAGGCCTGACCCAGGCACAACCATCCTCACAGTGCATCTAGCACAGAGTGGCTGTGCATTACAGGCCTGATCCACACACAACCATCCTCACAGTGCATCTAGCACAGAGTGGCTGCGCATTCCAGGCCTGA